CCAGTTTGATTCTTAGAAGGGCCAGGGGAAGGCCTTCATAAAAATTCTTCCGAAATGGAATGTACAGTTGTTTCTGATAAAAGGGAGTAATATCTATAAGCTACTTTTGGTCCTTTGAAAAAATATTGTTCCTAGCTAGATATATCGCCGATCAAAGGTCAGCGCTTGTGTGCAACATCGTATTCATGATCTCAAATTATTTGTTATATATAGTGTGTTGAAAGTATTTTTAAAAGTACTAATTTGAGATCATGAATAATACGATGTTGTCACATTGAATAATTCCTTTCCTGATAAAAGGGGGGGTATCCAATGGTGAAAAATTGTGTAAAATGGTGAAAAACAGTGTTCATGATTTTGATGGTGAATTGGGTTTACAAATTGTAAAATTTCACCATTTTTCGACATTTTTCACCATTTTTTCGATGAATATATTTGCCTTCTAGTTCAAGTGTTTGAGGACATAAAGAAACAATTAAACATGTGTTTCATTAAATTTAAAGTAAGTCTAGGTTTTACAATTCGGAAACTCGAGTCACCAAAACTATCAAGCACCATTTTTCATCAAAACTAGTGAACACTGAACATGATGAGAAAGGTACATTGAAAATGGTAACTTGAAGTGAAAATGGTGCAGTGAGAAAGATACATTCATAATGGTACCTTTTTCAAATGATTGCGCTCTAGTGTAATTTTGACACAGTAGCTATTTGTAAAACTGATTACGGGGGGATTTCAAACAGATACAACCACAACGATGCTCCAATACTTAATGTCAATAAAGGCACCAAATCATAATGTCTCACCATCTTATCAAGAACTGAACAACATCTTACAGGACTGCCAATTTAGTTTCTCACCAAAGTGGATTCCAAAATTTCTTGTAGGATCACTCATTTTTCTTCCAGCATACGAGCTCTGTGAACATTTGAATCATTTCTCCCCAGAGTGAGTTTTTATGTGTTTAGTAAGATGCATTGCTAGTCTTGCAGCATATGAACACTCAGAACATTTGAAGGGTTTATCACCTGAGTGAGTTCTCATATGTACAGTAAGATGACCTGCTTGTCTTGTAGCATATGAACACTCTGAACATTTGAAGGGTTTATCACCTGAGTGAGTTCTCATATGTCTAGTGAGATGACCTGCTTGTCTTGCAGCAAATGAACACTCAGAACACTTGAAGGGTTTCTCGCCTGAGTGAGTTCTCATATGTACAGTAAGATCACCTGCTTGTTTTGTAGCATATGAACACTCAGAACACTTGAAAGGTTTCTCTTCAGAGTGAATCTTTTCATGTTTTATAAGTGTTCTCGAATATGCTGCACTGAATGTACACTGTGAACACCTAAATGGTCTCACAGGCGGACTCTCACTAGGAGACAGAACTAATGTCCTCTGAGGATCTGTTCCAGTCAAGTTATCTGAAGTATCAAAGTAGTCAGGTACTTCTGGGCTGCTATGACCATGGTGTTGTTTTACATGTTCTATTAACTGAGTGTCTGAGTAAACATGTTCAGCACAAACTGGACAGATAAAAATAGATGGTTTATCTGATTCAGATGTAAGTTCTTGTTTTATTGTACAATTTGATATTGTTTTATGTTCTTTAATGTGCTCAACAAAGTAGTCTTCTGAAAAGTAATGTGCTCCACACATTGGGCAGAGGAAACCGTTTGACTTTTCTGGGTTCTCCACTCGTTCTGATTTGATCTCTTGTTTACAGTCTTTAGACATTCTGAGATATTGAAATATTTATCACCAACTCAATACACAATCAATAAATTCAACATGTGTTTCATTATATTTAAAGTATGTCTAGATTTTACAATTCGGGAACTCGATTCACCAAAACTATCAATCACCATTTTTCATCAAAACTAGAGAACATGGTGAGAAAGGTACATTGAAACTGGTAACTCTAAGTGAAAATGGCGAAAGTTACATTAAAACTGGTAACTTTTAGTAACCACTGAAGATGGTGAGAAAGGTACATTGATACTGGTAACTTTTGGTGAACATGGCGAGTAAGCTACATGAAAACTGGTAACTTTTGGTGAACATGGCGAGTAAGATAAATAAAAACTACAGGGTGGCCCAAAAGTAACTGCCCACACGCAACCCTTTAATAACTCACGTAATTCTTCTTAGAATTGCACCGAAATTTCAGAGATTATAGATATGGGTCAAACTTAGATTTCCTGAAAGTTTCGTCAAATTTAATTAATTACAGTGGGTGTGGCATGCCAATCCCTCTTTTTCGATATTGTCACCATAAAGTGAGAACGCTTTCGGCGAGGAACTTTAAAGTTTCTAGACATGTTTGGTTTGATAATTGAAGTGCTTTCCCAAAATTTCAAGTTGGTTGTTTACAATTTAACCGTTATGACCCTTTTAAGATATTGCAGATACATGATCTTGGCACTTAATCAGTGATTTCAATGAAACAATAAGTTATTCACTAGCGAGCAACAATGAGACTCATTAGGCGGTGACGAGCATGTTGGTGGATGACAATCTGATCACTTTGCTTAAAACCGAAGAAATTTGCGTTATAGCGCTTCGGTTGCTGTCCTATAAGCAGTTTCCAACCAAGTAGGACATTGTATTGATTGAGTTGCTGGATCACGTATCTACAAGATTTTAAAAGGGTCATAACTCGGTTAAATTATAAATAACCAACTTGAAATTTTGGGAAAGCACTTCAATTATCAAACCAAACATGTCTAGAAATTTTTAAGTTCTTAGCTGGAAGCGCTTTCACTTTATGGTGATAATAGCGAAAATGGGGATTGGTGTGCCACACCCACTGTAAATTAATATATTTGACTAAACTTTTAGGAAATCTAAGTTTGACCCATATTTATAATCTCTGAAATTTCTGTGCAATCCTAAAAATATTAGAATATTAGAATATTAGAATCTTAGAAAAATTACGTGAGTTATTAAAGGGTTGCGTGTTGGCAGTTACTTTTGGGCCACCCTGTAGTTTTTATTTATCTTACTCGCCATGTTCACAAAAACTTACCATTTCTGATGTACTTTACTCGCCAAGTTTACTTAAAATTGCCATTTTTGATGCTTGCAGTATATAGCGCGCGCCCATCGTCCGGCGGTAACAGCCTTTTTACTTTAGCATTTTAATGTTTAAGAGAAGAGCGCCTGAAGTGGCGCGAACGCACAAGTTTTATAACCTTCTGGTCTTACTTTTGATTATGCACTTTCTTAGTACATCGCGTTTTTTAAAGAACAGCTGGTAATAATAACAAACAAAGCAAGCTTAAATATTAAATTCATGCGACTAATCATGTTTGATGACTAAAATCCACATTTTAGAGAAAAAATTTGAAAATTCAATTAATTATTGAATATATAAATCAAGCGTTACATTTCATTTTATCAGTGACCCCCATTGTCGTTTTACTAAATAGTATTTATAGCGTTTCTACAATACATGGGGCCGCGTTGCTCTATCCAGAGCCCTTGCACTTGCGGTAGCGCGCGCCCGCACCTCACTTGTGAAACAAACGCGCCCGCAGCGGCGCGAAAGCACATGGTTAGGTGAAGGGGCCGCGAACTTGTGCGCGGCGGGTCATACAACGTGTGACAAACATTTCAGCCATGCACAATTACAGTAACACATTCTGATATACTGATTGATAAATGATACTGCAATATTTACTGGGCGGCGCTCAGCCTGTCATTCCGCCGAATCTTTATTCGGGCTGAGTGATTTACGTCCTCCATCGCCCTTTAAAAAAGTGCGAATGCTCTGCATTGGATGTTGGAACGCACGTGACTCGCATTCACGTGATCGCTCTTGACGGATGTTACTCGTCTAAATTTCTTCGAAGTAGCGCGCGCCGCTTTCTTCTCTATGGCAAGAGCTACGAAGTAGCGCGCGCCGGGTCAGATCATTAACAATGGTCAAGATCGCTCAGAACCAATTACAGCCGCGCAAAAGATCACCTGCACGCCAACTACCAATAAAAAAGAAGCGACGTATGCGCTACAAGAGCCGCGCAATGAGTTAGATTGTAAAATATGATTATTTGATTGTAAAATCGCATAAACGCGCCTATTTGCGCGTTTTAGAGCGTTAAAATTACGCCAGGCTATGTTTATGAACATAATAGCCTGGGGTCCCCAGGTAAGGGCCGCGGCCGTTTATCTATGAAAGAAACTATCCGGAAGGCATCCGAGCAGGGTACAGTAGTAACCATGTTAGTTGAAGTATCCGACTTATGCGAGTCCAACTTATCAATTATCTGAGCATTGTGCCTAGTGTATCAGGTGGCCTCTGGACACAGGAGGGGCTAAGTGCAAAGAAACTGCTGCTCACTGCTGCTAACTGCTACTAACTGCTGCTCACTGCTGCTCACTGCTGCTCACTGCTACTAACTGCTACCCACTGCTGCTCACTGCTGCTGTCAGTGAGCAGCAGTAAGCAGCAGTTAGTAGCAGTGAGCAGCAGTGAGCAGCAGTGAGCAGCAGTGAACAGCAGTTAGCAGCAGTGAGCAGCAGTGAGCAGCAGTTTCGTTGCAATTAGCCCCTCCTGTAGCTGTGCATGGACGGCATAGGACTATATAAGTAGTATAGGGAGCGATACTGGAATTATTGATTAAAATGCTATACACTATTTTATAGAAGGTCATAAGATCGTTATAAATGCACTTCTGTTTAACAGGGAGAATATTTAATTTCTCTAGCAAGTTTATTGTCATTATAACTGCAGTAGGGTTCACCATTTATCCATTTAATGGCCCGCTTTTGAATAGCAACAAACTTTTCAAGATGAGTTGCTTTTTGAGGGGACCATATGACAGAACAATGTTCAAATATAGACCTAATTAACACTAAATAAAACGATATTTGGATTTATCTTTTTTTCGTTTATTATCCTTTATTTCCTTTTTTACTTTAGGCGGCATTCTGCCTATTGTATTTGTACAGGATCGACTCAATAGTAAAGACACATTTATTTGTTAAAAGATGATAAAACATAGCTCGGGTCAAGTTGAAGTCATTGAAATAAACTCGCAGTATTGTCCTAACAAATGATAACAGATGAAAGGAATACCAAACACAGCATTTATAAACATGAAACAATTATAATGTTTATGTCATAACCCTTAAAATCTGTTGATTTGCAGAAAAAGTTTGTTAAAACTCTGTCTAAAGTGCCAAATCACTTAGCTCGTGTAATCAAACAGTAGCAAATATCAACAAATGTCTAATTTTAATGATATACTAGTAAAATATGATCCTTTTAATAATAGGAGATAAAAATCACACAATAATGTCACCTTTTTAACGCATACTTTCAATGTTAAGAATGAGCACACAGTCAAATTTATATGATTAATCCTAGTTGCCACTGAAGAGTGTGATTTTTCGATAAAAACAGGAATTGAAAAAGGAACGCATCCTGATAAAGTAGCATACACGCCTAACAAGGAACTATGTGTTATGATTCGTTTAAGGTTAAATACCAAGTTTGAATACATCTAATGTTATGGAAATTGTTGCCAATGTACAAAAAATTACCAACCAGGCAAGCAAAGCATATAAGCTAATGTATGAGCATGCAAAGAAAACGGTAGCTGTCCCTACTGACATTACCGAATTAAGTAACATATATCCTATATCACTGTCTGCTTGAAATAGTAATCCTATCAGACAGTTGGCTTGAATGTTGAATCCAGTGTCTGATATTGCCAGAAGTACTGCAACGAACAATATTAGCCCCTGAGTTGGCTCTATTGAAGTTGGATCATCACTCTTCCCATATGTAGCAGCAGAAGGAAACATTAAGAAAATGAGGTAGTAAGAGATTATTGCTAATATGTAGAGGAACAGCACAGCGATCCTGTTGTTTAAAAAGACAGCAATGCCCTCAAATAAAGGACATGCAATTACTGCTGATATTCCAAATACTAAAGACATTAGTGGAATCAGGCTTCTGTCTGCAAATACATGACCTATGCAGGTTTGGAAAGTCATAGTATAGAATGCCAACACAAATGAGTTATAGAAAAGGATTATAAGAAGATATCCTATTTCTTTTCTTAGTAAGGTAACTTTGTAGAGAGCAAAGTTGTGCTTTACTTTTTCCCATACAGTTGTGCTTTCAGGTTTGGCTACTCTGCTTTGGATAGACTTGGAGCAAAGAAGTTCATCAATGTCGTCTTCTATGTCATTGAGTGCAGTAATATCCCTGTATCCAAATACTGCTACAGCAACAGCAAGGATAACAAAGATACAACATACAAGATAAATGCAGATTCTTGTATGTGTACCAATCTTTGTAAGATTCCCAAGGTAGAAATAGTCAGCTGTATTACCTGAATTAAAGTCATGTAATTCTTCATGGCATATAATCCTTAATGACTGTTATATGGTATTCTGAACGTCTGAAAAATAAACAGGATTCAATGCACATGTTCTAAACTAACCTATAACCATGCTGAAAATGTATATGCACCACCAAACACTGCTATTTCTCTGAAGATTTTTCTCAGTTGAGCAATCAGCAACAATTTTAGGAGCAACCACCCACATCATACCCATACCAAATCCTGGAATGATAAAAAGTCACCAACAGGATTATGTGATATTAAAAGTTTATATATTGTGGGCACAGATACAATCACCCTGGTGATTATGGTATTGATTATTATAATATTTGTTTTATTCTGAATATTTGTTTTATTCTGATTATTGAATTTCATTTAATTTGCATACAATTAATTCATTCATAGAAACCTGCAACAACTGATCCTAGATAGATGGTCCAGTTCTTTAAGAAGATGATCCCTATAAATAATCCACTGTAGAGGAAGGCTGAGATTGCGAGTGTAGCCCGTACCCCAATTGCACTTAAGATCAGAGGTGTAATAAGTGCTATAGAAATGCTTGATAGGTATGTCAATCCTGTAACGATGCAATTAGTTGAGTGCAATGATTATTCGATGAGTTTAGCTTCATCACATTTTGACAGGACTCAAATTCGATATACAACAATGCTGGTTATTATATAATATGCATATTACACATTTGAGATATTTGGTTGGGGAGGCGGATTATCGTTGTGAAGTACTGTACTACTCACGAAGTGCTGTACACGATGTTTTGTATGTTACATATTACACATTGTTAAGGTACCTTGACTAATAAATCCAACGTTGGCATCACTCGAATCTCTGCCAGGACCATCAGTTATCACCACATCTAATAAGCCACCACCAGGAAAGAAAGCACAGTAAACCAGACACAATACCACAGCACTCACCAGCACGTTACAGAACGGCTTTGAAAACAATCCTGATTTATAGAAACATCGTTATTACCTTTAAAGCCTTTACAAAACAGTGAAGCTACAAATTCTATTGCAAAGCGGTTGATATGATCCTATGATTCACTTACTCTCCCTATGAGGCTCAGGTTCCCTTTCCTCACCCACTGGATAGATTAACACTGCATCAGCTTGCATACTGTGACTTGTTAGGTTTAGTGAAGGAGTTTTCTAGTACATGTTATCTCCTTGATAGGGTATTTGAATTAGGCATAGCAGTTTATAAGTTATAACACGTCTTTTGAAACAAAGGATACACTGCCAGTACAGTTTTATTATAACAGAGGTAACCAAACTGAAAACAAAGGAGTTCATTTGATACAACATGTACAATACTGACTCACGTACAGTGAGGCCGTGAGCTCAGTATAATATCATGTGAGGAATTGTGGTGTCACCTTACTAGTTCTCTTCACTTATCTCTATATTATTCTGCAAAACCGAACTCATGACTGCATTGATAAGTAATTTGGCTGATATCTTGATGATTTAAGAAATTATTCCTCCTGGGTCATCTTGCAAATTAGTTTGCTGAACAAATAATACTGACAATCATAAATGAACTTATCAAAATAAACAGTCGCAGTGTAAAACAAATATAGAATTTATCATTTTATAACCAAAATTTCAAATAATACTGTTCATATAACTAATTGCAATAAGAAAGTTTACAAAACAAAGCTGATTTGCCCCCCAAACATTCAATTCAGAAAGCAGAAATGTTAACAGAGAATGCTATTGATAGATATTTTCTAATCAAATCAAACAAACCATCATGGAATAGATGAATTCACACGAACTAATAACACACACGATAATTACATTCATACTCTGCCCCGAGACCCACAACACATGACTCATGCTGTTGTATTAATGTTAATTATTCTTATCTGAAATCTGAATTATATGTCTGTCCAGTGTCCTTATCTAACATATTATTTTCCAAACCGGAAAACTCTTCTGTCTTTTGATTTCATGTGTCAACTCAGGTTACTGATATTTTCATTTTACTGTTTTCGAATCTTTTAGTCACCGTTCGAGCCATCACCGTTTATTTTCCTATTCTAAACAGATCCATTGTAACACATATAGTGGCCATAGTACAAAGGATTGCTTCAGCGCCGAGCAGTGCATATAGGCTAACATAGGGGCTAATGAGGAAAACAACAGCGCTGGAGGATGACATGACCGCATTGAGCAACATGAACCCTATCTCACTGTCCGACTGAAAGAGTCGTCCGATCAAAGAGTTCAGGATGATGTTGAATCCAGCATCAGATATCCCCAACAGAACAGCTATTAATAGCACAAGGTACTTCTGTGGCTTGATGAACGTTTCCTCCCCCATTGCCTCTCTGTAGGAAGCTGCTGCAGGGAAGATAAGGAAGGTGAGGTAGAAGGAAGCCAGTGCTGACAGGAACATGAATATAACGATAACTTTGTTGCTAATCTTCTCGCAGACGAGTCCTAGTATGGGACAACAAGCTACCTCTGTAACCCCCAACACAAGCCCCATCAGCGTTATCAAACTCCTATCAGTGAATGTGTTTCCAATGCAGGTCTGGAATGTCATGGTGTAGAAGGCTTGCACCACTGCAATGTAGATGAGCAGGGTGAAGAGAAGTCCTACTTCCCTCCTCAGCAACGTTACTTTGTATCTCGCGGCGCTCAGCTTCATCCTCTCCCAGGCACTGTCACTCTCCATTACTCGGTGTGAATCAATAGATTTGGAGGAGATGTAGTTTTCAAGTTCTTGGGTAGCCTCAGCTGTTTCGTTCAAGTTCCTGTAGCCGATAACTCCAACAAGGGATGCAGCTACGGTGAAGGCACAGCATATAAGGTAGATGTAGAGTCTTGTGTCCGCGTCTATCGTAGTGAGTGTACCAAGGTACAAGTAATCTGCTGTGTTTCCTGTAAATTGTTTTTTGTATGGTATGACTTTGAGCTTTGGAAACGTTTCGAATATTATCACGGTTTTAATGTCTTAACGAAAAGTGCTCATTAAAATATGCTCAAAGTATGTTTGAATTAATTAACAATTGGTTTGTATTCATTCTCACCTATAACCATGCTCATCATGTAAATACACCACCAAATGGTATTGTTCCTCTGAAGATTTTCCATGGTCGAGTTGTCTGTGAACACTTTCGGCATAACCACCCACGTCAGCCCCATCCCAACACCTGTTCATTTTATTGTTACATATTTTCCTAAAAAAGCTGATCTGACATCATATTTTCGATGGTTTTTGTCGATATGAGCGGGATATAAATAAATGCCCTGTTTAATTTCAACGTTACAAAATAGCTTTAAAAAGAGATAAGAATACTGTATCATATGCGACTATTTTAACAACCTACAGGCTACCTAATCTTGCCAAGTATCTTTTAAAATCCTGTTCATCGCACTCGCTTCTTTGTACCACATCATCAGTATAATATCGTGCATGGTGTTTGATCGCAACGTGCAACAGGCCAAAATATACTGAGCATTCGCCAGAATCCACCGGATATAAAAGCCGGCTCTGATAATCTAAAATATCCATTACTTTTAGTAGGTCTCGGTGATAATGCCATGGAGTTAATAGGGATTTACGTATGAATAGCAAATATTTGAATATTTGACTGCATCAATAATAAATATGCGGAGTTATTATCCACCAATCGTGCTTGGCTAGTGTTGTGAATTTTATTAATAAAATTCTCATTTTTTCCACTTATATTCTGCTAGTAGTTAGTAACTAGCTATAATACCGTTATGTTATAAATGCACAACAACTCTTGAACAGTTTTAAACATGTTTGTCTATCGAATGTGGGCCAAATTTTGCAGATTTCCCGTTTGTTGCGACAAGGAAAAAGTTCTCATCAGGATAAAGAAGTGTTTAATTCCTTATATTATATATATTACAACAATGCGACTAATAAGTAATACCCGATCCGAATAAACGTTTATCCACCATTGATTTTACCTGTAATAACTGATCCGAGGTAGATAGTCCAGGTCTTCATAAAGATGATGCCGATAAAGAGCCCGCTGTAAAGGATGCTAGAGATACCCATAGTTGCCCTTATTCCGATTGTGTTGATGACGAAGGGGGTTATGAGGGCTACTGGTATACTTGATGCGAAGGTTAAACCTGAAATATGATGTGTTATCTAATATTTGGTTTAACTTATATACATTTCAATCTCCTATTATCTTAATTTTATTAACTACGTCGGCTTATTTTGGATTTCAACGGCTATTTGCCCATGAAACACTGATGAACCCTAAGTGCAGTGAGCGACAAATCGGCTGGATTTACTGTGACGTCATCATGAACTATGACAAATGATGACGGAGTATTTCTGAGAAGGTATGATAAAGATAACTCTATCTTAACCATTTTTTTTTCGAATATTCAATAGTCAATACCCCGAAATAATAATAAAATCACGATAAACTACGTGACATACTCATATTTATCAATACTACCTCATTCTGCTTCCTTTGGAAAATATATTCGGAACGGGGAATGGGGCTTTAACTCCACTTACTTAGACTGACTCCACTTTGACTCCACTTACTTTGACTCCACTTACTTTGACTCCACTTTGACTCCACTTACTTTGACTCCACTTACTTAAACTGACTCCACTTTGACTCCACTTTGACTCCACTTACTTTGACTCCACTAACTTTGACTCCACTTTGACTCCACTTTGACTCCACTTACTTTGACTCCACTTTGACTCCACTTACTTTGACTCCACTTACTTAAACGGACTATACTTTGACTCCACTTACTTTGACTCCACTTACTTTGACTCCACTTTGACTCCACTTTGACTCCACTTACTTTGACTCCACTTTGACTCCACTTACTTTGACTTAAGAAGCCCACATCCGAGCTGTGTGTGGTGTTCATCCCATCAGTTATCACCACATCCAGTAAGCCACCGCCAGGAAAGAAAGCCGAGTAAACCAGGCACATTACCACTGCGCTCACCAACACGTTACAGAACGGCTTAGTAAACAGTTCTGAAGTGTAGTTAATGTTAGAGTTAGCTCTGAAGTGTAGTTAACAGTTAGAGTTAGCTCTGAAGTGTAGTTAACAGTTAGAGTTAGCTCTGAAGTGTAGTTAATGTTAGAGTTAGCTCTGAAGTGTAGTTAATGTTAGAGTTAGCTCTGAAGTGCAGTTAATGTTAGATTTAGCTCTGAAGTGTAGTTAATGTTAGAGTTAGCTCTGAAGTGTAGTTAATGTTAGAGTTAGCTCTGAAGTGTAGTTAATGTTAGAGTTAGCTCTGAAGTGTAGTTAATGTTAGAGTTAGCTTTGAAGTGTAGTTAATGTTAAAGTTAGCTTTGAAGTGTAGTTAATGTTAGAGTTAGCTCTGAAGTGTAGTTAATGTCAGAGTTAGCTCTGAAGTGTAGTTAACAGTTAGAGTTAGCTCTGAAGTGTAGTTAACAGTTAGAGTTAGCTCTGAAGTGTAGTTAATGTTAGAGTTAGCTCTGAAGTGTAGTTAATGTTAGAGTTAGCTCTGAAGTGTAGTTAACAGTTAGCTCTGAAGTGTAGTTAATGTTAGAGTTAGCTCTGAAGTGTAGTTAACAGTTAGCTCTGAAGTGTAGTTAATGTTAGAGTTAGCTCTGAAGTGTAGTTAACAGTTAGCTCTGAAGTGTAATTTGTATTATAGTGAGAATGAACACTGGATGAGACTGGTATGTGGTTCGGTAAGATCATGTCTTGATTTGGAATGTTCACTATAACAGACAATCAACATTAGGACCCCTAATTTAGAAGTATCAAGCTAAAATATTGAATATGACAAGTTGTTAACCACTAGGGTATTATATTCTGTAACATACGTCAGAAGATCTGAGGTTATAGAATTTAATGGTGACCACTGTGTTAATTTTAGGTACCCAGCTTTTCGCTTAAAAAAGAGAGAAATTTCGAAATGAATGCTAGAATATACTTGGAGGAACCAATATATTGTGTGACTCAGACGTGTTCACAATAACAGTTGTTACAATGTGTAACAATAACTGTAAACTGGTGTATTGTTTTCATCTCATCGCACCCAGCAAGCCACTATAATTAAAACATAATATTACCATTGAATTACTGTATATATTAGTTAACTTATTAGTCAACATTACATTAACCGCATGAAACTCAAATAAATCATCACTATATCCACTCCATTCATGTAGGCGTGGTTTCTGATGCGGCCATGATGATTATTTCCATCTCTCTAGGACTAAGATTAAGTGTTATCTTGAATGTTTTGCTTATTTTTCAGCGTCTTGCCCATGATGTTTTGTCGTGCAATATACTGGATTTTAACAGTATGTTTTAGTATTTTGTTGTAGCTACATGATGTATTATAGTGATTTTGTATTTAACTTTCTCAGAAAATTACTTTCTGTCGAAACCTGATTTAACTGCCTATAGACTCCCTAGACAACAATATTGTAGTGACGGTTATTCGTTGCACTTTAATCTATTTAATTGTTTCAACTTTTCAGTTACATACTTGATATTTTGCTGCTAATAATTGTAATCGTATCTAACAGCTGATTGGCTAAGCTATGTCAATGGATCCTAAATCTGATCGGTTAAAATATTTACCGATAAAGTGCTGTATAAATTGTGACTTTACGTATTTATTTACGTATTTATTTATTATTTTATATATTTAAAAACCGTAAATTTGTCGAATCAACTGGACTCTGGAAGCTTTAAGAAGCAAGTGTCAAAACGAATGTATAATAACTCTATTAGGAATATAATATATAAGATATGTATCTTGTAACTGTTTTAGCATTCCATTTGATAACATTCCATAAAATAGATACATTTAAGTGTTGACCTAGTATTGTAACTTTGTAAATACTGATGTGATAATTGCTTTGTTGTTTAAACGAAGGGCGGTGCTTAAGGGGGGGGGGTTCACCCTGATTTTTTTGTGAAACTTGGTTTCGAGATAGCAGTTGACCAACAAACTAGGACCAGTTACCGAACTTTTGAGGGGGTCCCGGACCCCAACTGCCAAACAGTGCCCGCGGGGCAGCCACGCCCATATTTTGTCCAAATTAGGCCCAATTTAGCCAAATACCCTGAACATGCCCAAAATCCAGATTTTAGGTGCTCTACTTGTAGCTCGTGGTCCCCTGAACTCGTATATGAATTTCCATCAAGATTGGACAAAAAATGACTGAGTTATGAGCAAAAAACCATATGACCATATTTGGGCATACGCACCAAATTTGATCGATTTTGGCCCATATATTAGTTAAATATCAATATTTTTGAATGAAACCAACTTTATATGGAAGGTAAGCCTATACTACACATTCTCTATGATTATCAGCTCAGTATTTACCTAACTGTGGATTCTGTGTTCAAATAATCGCAAAAAATGAACAAAACTGCCCATATCTCAGTTCGCGATATTTTGCAAATCAGGGTGAACCCCCCCCCCCCCCCCCCCCCCCTTAAGAATCCTTTACAAATCTAACACTTTATGTTATCACTGTTATTTTTCTTGAATAATATCACAATATTCGGATTATTCCGGGTAATCAACCGTCAAAGTTGAGGTTTAACTCTATGACAACCTCTAACTCTATGACAACCTCTAACCTAACTCTATGACAACCTCTAACTCACACAGCATACTGGTTGCGGTAGAGATATGTTAAGGTTATATAGCCTGATTGCATGTCTAAACAGTAAATAACCGTCAAGCAGGTGGTGGAACAATGGGTCTTCCACCGGTCAGGGATTAATAATAATATGTAGTAATATTACTAATATTACTAATATGCTGAATAGGTTGTAAGGTTGTGGGGTTGTGAATGGAATTTGAACTCAGTAAGGTAGTGTGCGTAGTAGGAAAAGTGTAGACAAAACATAAAGTGGGATCTCTGAGAATTGCTCAATAAAAGTTGACTCCACTGCTAATTCCGGTCTAAAATAATAGCGTAATGTTTAAAAATAACTCCATGTTAAGCAGTAAGCACCACCTGTCGGTTATGTTTCCAGTTAACATGGATAATTACTCTTGCTACTACCCCAGCAAAACTGCACCTGGTTATCCAGAATATCTGGAGAGTGCTAGAAGTCTCAAAGTCTGGCCTTCTATGGAAGGTGCTCGAAGTCTGGCCTTCTTAAGATGTCGCCCACTCGGAGGTCAGCTCTATAAATGCTGCTAAAACCACTTTTTGGTAATTGCTTCAAGAACCACTCTAGAGGAACGTGTTCTAGATTGTGTAAAGTTCTAGAACCCAATTTATCTATATAGTTGTCTCTCTTTAATATCATTATGTTTAGTATTATTATATTATGTAAGACCTAACACTAGATTGAAGATGTATTATTCCATACAATATTGGTGTCGGCTATTCTAGAGGCAATCGTGTGTTCTAGAACTTTTGTTGCAGTCAGAATATCTTTGTTGCGATAAAAATATTCCAGGATTAATCGTCATACTCATACCAAGGAATAGTTTCTATACCAAAATGGGGATGGAACATGGTAGAATGTTCCACTGTGTTACTGTGCTAGGTGAGTCAGCAAGACAACGTAATTCGATCAGGATTTCATTGAGATGAAAACAAGCCTAAACAAAGTCAGACATATTTTACCAGGGTAACAGCTGCCATTTGCTAACCACTTCTTCCACCACGTTTCTTGGCACGTGATTTGATTACATAACATGAGGGTGGGGTAACTGAGTAGAGAGGCATTTTATATGGTTATATGAGGCATCATTCTTCAACTTTTGTGTATTGTCATCTTCTAAAAACGTTGGACTCTGAGTAACGCCGAAATGATGCAGAGTTCTGTAAGTTATTATCTTTATTGGTTTGAGTTTAAGTTACAAAGTTAAGATTGACCGGCATTTATTAAATTAAAGTATGGTATTTATCGCTTAACGTTCGAGAAAAAGTACGGGATTTATTAAACTTTTGAGATTGAATTATTAAGCTTCCTCTGCACGATTTCTTTTCAGTTGCCGTGCAAATTTGCAAAATGTAGCATGTTTTTCCAGGTTAAGTACTAAAAACAGAGCTGCTTGATTTCGACATGATTCATCAAAAAGTGTCTAGTCACCGCAAATTAACCATTACTTCGTTCATTAATTCACCACTCCTTTTCATTTGTAACTCTCCGCTCTGATAGGTATGCAATACGATGCTGGGTGATGTAGAGTTTGAAGTAAGACCGACTGTTTTACCGGGAGGGTTGCGCGCACCAGAACCAGGAGATGTGGTGGAGTTTGTGGTGGAGGGGGAGCGGTTACTCGCGCATCGCTCTACCCTCGCGCAGCACTGCACTTTCTTCTCTAATATGTTCAGGTAATGTGGGGTAGTTTTTACAGTTTTTCAGATGTTTCCTGAGTCTAGTTAGCAAATATTGCTTGGTTAATTTTATAATAAATGTTGGTTAATTTTATTTATTAAAAAAATAAACTCACTTTTTTTAGCAACTTCGTGAATTTCCCTAAAGTCCTCCAAATCCTCGGGCATAGGCTCTATCTGCTCTATAGTAGCTGGATCTGACTCCATCATCTCCTATTAGTTTAAATCATGGAGTATAGATGTAGTTAATAATATGTAAATTGTAAATTGTATATATTTATTTAAAATCAATTTTATCTATTCGACAGCTTATTGATATCTGACCTAAATTCTAAAGATTAATTCTTGATTAATGTTTAGGACCTCTTTAAACTTGGAGATTTTACCTTTAAAAGGAACAAGTGGCAAACATTTTCTGTTATTTAGGCGACTTATCGGTTCAATAAGCAGGATTTTATGAATATTATGCTCCCTCAATGTTACAAATAGTAGCAAATAATAAAATCTACGATATCGTCACATACTTATATTTATAAATACATATTTATCATCTCGTCGATTCAGTATGGTAGTCAGAACGGCATTTCGAATAACTTAAGGATTTGTTTATCGAATAAAAACAAATATTATGTTACTAATAATTTAAGTAAAAACTTCTTTAAACCGTTTACATTAGTACATGTTATTAGCTCTATTAAAATCAGAGCTGCTCTAATTTTGTTACTATCCACATTCAGGCCAGTGTTTCGAGAAAGCATTGCAAAAGTTATTGAATTAAAGAATGTTAGTCTCCCCGCTATGAGACTGTTTCTAAAACTTGTTCATCTCACTGAGGACCCACTAAATAACCTCGATGTAAGTTTTATTGTTTCTTTCCTTAATAAATTATTAAAGATACGAGCTTTAAAAGTCTTTAACAGGACTAGGTCCTTTGTTCAAATTTATAAACTATTTGAGGGATAAATTGCGTTTTTAAACAAGAAAGTTAACACAATGGTACACTTAATTAATGTTCAAATTATGTGATTATCCCTAGCTATTACTATATCTATGATTAATACTATATCTCATATTCCATGTCAGGTAACTGTTATGAAGGATGAAGGTTTAACCACACTGATGGAGCTATTCAAGCTAGTTGACATGTTCCAACACACCCCCCTCATCTGCTCCCTATCTCAGTTCATTGGGGTCAGTTGTTAAATACTTATTTAACCTATTCATAACTTATTCAATAACATTCATTAATTTCGATAAATATAAGATTTAATAACAATCTTTTTTCGCTCTTTTGAGTGGGTCGATCATATAATTGATGTTTTGGGAGACTCTCACTTTGTCCCAAAGCATCAAAATATAAGATTCTTATAAATATAAGATTTAACAAATATAAAATGTTTATAACTTATTCATCATTTATCTGTCTAAACTCAGTCTCTTAATTTAACGGGGACAGTAAATGAATAATCTTTTGTCCATTGACTTAATTGTTAAGTGAACCTTTGAAGTCAGAATATGTGAGCGTCTATTTTTAAAATATAATGGTGTCCTAAACATGTGTAATGGAGGGGTGGCCTTGACATGTGACAGCGATCAACCAATCACCTCACAGCATCGACCAATCGAATCCTCGAATTGCTGTCACGTGTTAAAACAAATATTGTGAACAAAGCAGCTATTCATTAGGAGACTTAAGCCGGCCCCTGTAATCTCTTAATTACTTAATTAGATGATCTATTCAGTATTCAACTTTCATATCAAAATGAATGACCTTACTTGAAGAAATACAACTTTGAGTAATATCAATGAATTTATAAAACTAAGAGAGTTAGAATTCAAAAGAGATCAGCGGTAAGCACTCTAGTTTCCTAGAAGACTAATTGATTTTACAAGCGTGTACATTTTAATGTAGTAACAGTACAGATAAAATTGATCATAATATTCAATATTAATGCTCATATATTGCAGCTCCCCACAACAGTAAGACCTTTTTACTTAACTCTTTTTTCGCTCAAAGCGGGGAGGCAATTAAATGATTAAACGATAAGGAGCTTATTGTCATTTGTCTAAAAGGGGCCTTTTTTATTAACATTAAACGTAATGTAAACCACTGTGTGTACACGATCCTTAGCAACACTGGCAACTACATCTCTTTCTCGAACTTCTAGAGCACTAGTAAACGTTAGTGACTCATCACAATGACACAAAAAAGAGGGATAGAGAAAATTCTTCAGATAACAAGTTTCTGAATGATAAAACAAAATTTTTGGATTTTAAAGCAAAACTTCCGAATAATGGGTGGGGCAAGAAAATAATCGGTGAGGAGGCAAGAAAATACGAAATCTCATAGCCCAAAATCGTAAAATGAGTAATGATCAAAAGATCAAGACCACAACCGATGGTGATATCATATTACATGATCAGTTGTTGTATAGCAGAGCAAAATGTTCAACTTGTATTCTATGAATAGTAGTAACGATTTAGTTGCCATGATTTTGTAGCAACTTAGTAACATAATCCTGATTTTAGAGTTGATGACTGCTTATTATTTTAATCATTCCATGAGCAAGGTTCTTAGATCATAAGTATAACTGAAAAATGTATGTATGTATTACAGAACCTATATTAATCCTAAATTTACTTGGACTAGTTCCCCAGACTGACAGACTCTCCAAACCATCCTAAATCCCCCACCTGTACTAAATCTACCACCTGCACTAAATCCCTCACCTGTACTAAATCTACCACCACGTATTACAGGCTGTAACACGCTCACTAATAACCCTCCCAGATAAGTACGAACACAGAGAACTGCTGCCAAGTGTTAGGGTTCGCAGCAAGGTACGGGTTCCAGGGGGCTGTGCTACAGGACTCGGCTGCGTGTGCGCTGCGCGTCGCTGCCGCTAACTTTGCTCTTGTCACACAGTCAGGTATGTGTTGTGTGGTAAGATGTAGTGTGAGGTTGTGTAATGTGTATTAGTGATTCTCAGCCCTTACTTTTCTAGCTATATCATAATATGTCAGTCTTAGCTCGTGTTACCTAGCATTATCAAACATTTTCTTACTCAAGCTATCATCTTCTAGTCCTACCTAAAAAGTTCTACCTAAAAAGAACTTTTTAGCCGCTATCAGCACTATCTACTAACAATTCCTAACACCAGTACCACCCCACAGCACCCTATTTGGAACTGGAACTACCACTAGCGCTCGAACTGCTGTCTCGTGACGATATTGAGATAAACTCCGAGCTAGAAACGCTTCACGCCGCTATCAGATGGTTCAGACACAATCACATACCTGACATATTTGCTGCTGTTCGGTATGTTGTGGGTTATATTATATTGGGGAGCTGAGCCATTTGTTGTCAAGTGTCAAAACAAATGTGGTTTATTTCCTTACCAGTATTCAGATATATTGGTAGATGGTTTTAAGATGTTTCCTCAGCTATGTATCATCTACTAACTTATATACCGTTACAACGGTGACAATTTTGTAGCTGTAGTCCAGTGTATTTGAGTGTGAAAATATCAAGACTGAGGTAAATGGATAATTATCGTATAGAAAATTACGGAATGAAGGTATTTGCCCTGAGGTTTGAATCCCGTTTACAACTTTACTGTTATCAACGTGTGCATAGCGCTACTAAATTCCTTAGAATTAACAACTTCTCTGTATGAAGCTGTGAAAGACACAAGATAACTACTTGCACTAATATACTGTAAATAACTAAGTTTTAACCAACGTCAGGTTGTACCTGATACCAGCGACAGCCCTGCTGAAGTACAAGAAAGACGGAGCACTGTGGAATGCCCTGCAGTGCGCGGCTCCCCCTAATGCCCTGCAGTGCGCGGCTCCCCCCAGTGACATTCCCAGTGCACGACAGCGCGACGTGCTGAAGTGTCTGTATGTGATTGGTGGACTAGGTTAGTGGTGTTTTCAGCTTACACGACTTTTGTCCGACAGCACTGTTTTCTTGTATTTGAAGTGATATCTCAAATTTCGGACAGTACACCAGTATCCACGTACAAACACCAACATTGGTATGTGGTAACTGGTGTATGTACGTGGTAACTGATATTTGTACGTGGATATTGGACTCGGCAGTGCTGGGGTAACCGTATAGTGGATAATTCCGAACAGATATATGTTCTCGGTGAGTCAGTACAACCGCAAGTCTGACTGTTCAGTAATATAGCGAATATTCAATGATACGGTAACCCTAGTTGTACGTTGGTTTTACTCCTCTAGTAACTCATGAAATTACCAACCCGTCAAGTTTGACAACATTCAGCGGGTTCCAACATTCCTACATGGTATATTTCGATCATTATCGATCGTTATCTTTACCGGAACTATTATTAAGAAACTGTTTACACCATTAAAATATTCAAAACCCCTAAAAGAAATCAAGTCATCCTAAAATGGTGATCAAACTATCTTTACCGAAATTCGATTCCTATAATTTGTGCAGTTTTTGCAATGATCTCAAAAGGCACCGAATTTTGCGGATTTACATATCATCCATCACCTACGTATTCAAAAATGGATTACCAATATGATTACAATCGATTAAAACGAAACCTTCGTAAGCACAAACAACAAATACCAGAGTAGTAGAGTGTAGTTGAGTGTGCACTTCAAAGTCCACAAACAACAAACTAATTCCTTTGTTTCTCACAGATCAAAGTGCAGTTGAGATCTACAATATAAAGAAGAAAGACTGGTATCTAGGAACGAGTTTACCAGAGGCAAGGCACGCAGCTTGTACTGCTACACTCAACTGTACTGTCTACATTATGGGTACGATACCCATAGTGGGTTTTATATTATGGGTATTTGTTGAACTATCTTGTTAATCATGTAGTATTCTGAAGGGGGAGTACATTTTTGTACGTGCTTTTCCTTTGTAGGGGCTCATTTCTCAAATCTTCTAAAATACTGAATAGTTAGGTATAGTAGTAGTATGCACTGTGCACAATGATTGACGTTTAGTACATATCACGCCGCAGTACCACATTTCCGGAAAATGAATGTATTTACCATTCGCCGCAAACCACTAACTAGAACATTGTACATTTGTACCATACAATTGCTGGAATCTGTCAACTTGTTAACCAGTTTACAGTTAATACACATACTACATGCATATTGCCTAATGCATAGTGCATAGTGCATAGTGCATAGTGCATAGTGCATAGTACATAGTGCATAGTGCATAGTGCATAGTGCATAGTGCATAGTGCATACTACATACTGCACACTGCACACTGCACACTGCACACTGCACACTGCATACTGCATACTGCATATACTATACTGCATACTACATACTGCATACTGCACATACTATACTGCAAACTGCAAACTGCACAACGCACACTGCATACTGCACACTGCACACTGACATACTATACACTGCATACTGCATACTGCACACTGCACACTGCACACTGCACACTGCACACTGCACACTGCACACTGCACATACTATACTGCACACTGCATACTGCACACTGCACACTGACATACTATACACTGCATACTGCACACTGCACACTGCACACTGCATACTGCACACTGCACACTGCACATACTATACTGCACACTGAATACAGCATACTGCACATACTATACACACCTGTACAGTGTATACACGAAGATAACCTACAAATGTGCAGACAAATGTTCCTAACAACACTAATCCTAATCAGTATTACACATCCGAATACCGGTACTACTACTATTACTACTCTGTAACACTTTAATAACACTTCTCTACTCATCTCCATCATAGCAGGAACTACAACGCTGAAACGCTGCCGTTATACTAATAAAACACATTAAATACAAGTTGAACGAGTATAACACAACTGACAACGTACAACAGAGCGACCAATTCACTGCGGAACATATAGCAATGACAAAATCGTACACAAACACACACGCACAGACTGTTCCACTACTATAATATAGAGTTAGGACATTACACATTACACAATATATTATGTTGATACTTTATAATTATGCAGGCGGATATGTTAGGGGCGAGCATACGAACTCAGTGTTGGCGTATCGGTTGAGGGAGAACAAGTGGGTTAAGAAGTGTGGCATGTCCCTTGCTCGATCAGGTTGGGATCATTTGTACATTTGTCATGTTTCTTATTTCAGTGTATAATGTACACCAAGTTGGATTATTGGTGATTATGAACAATATTACGGCAGTGAATTTTCTGACTTCTTAGTTACGGCACACATGCCGTGTCCATTGTTTGAATGTGCGATCTGAATTATCGTGTCTGCCATACTGCATATTACGGAATACGGATAAGGTTAATGTCTCAACATCAAAGAATGTACGGAGGCGGTGGCCGGTGTGTTGATCCATTTATGTCACATTGAACGGACGTGACAGGAGGATTACGTGTGGGTAACTGTGTCGCCTGCAGGCTTCTGTACTGCTCCGGTAACCGGTTATTGATATGAAAACCTGAGCTTTAAGCCGCAAGCCATTATCCGCACTCTGGGCACGAATTAATTATCCTGGGTCGGGCGTGGATGCTGGCAACCTGCCAACACCCATGTTTACAGTTGTCACGCGGCTTGTGGATGGAACGCGCGAAAAATGTTTGTAATGCTAAACGCAATGAACGATAATACTATATTTTCGTCACATGGATTAATTGGTTTAGCTGGCGCGCATGGGAATTCTCGAATTCTCGAAATATAATTAGTAAATATTATTACGGGTAGTTATCATTACTAATTGTTGTGAAACGTAATCATTTATTTGTATTATAAAGCATATCAAAGTTCAAAATATCTGAAAACAGCAATCCTAGGAACTTTATTGGTAGCTGCCTCAAAAATAAAGATCCTCAAAAAGATACAACTAAATATACTCGAATGACTAAATCAATTGATTCATGATTACATTTCACAACAATCTTATCACTAAACCAGGAGCAGGGGCAGCAGTGCTACACGGTAAAATATACGTTTGTGGGGGGAGGAACGCCAGCATGGTATTCAACAGTTGTGAAGTCTACGACCCTTCCTTAAACACGTGGAGTTTTACGTGAGTTTTAGTAGTAGTCAGTAGTCAGTAGTCAGTTGTAGCAGTCAGTAGTAATCACTGACTAATCAGTAGTCAGTACTCAGTAAGCTCATCTTTTATTTTAGGAATTTAAACACCATTGCTTTCAGAAAGCATAAGTTTTACTTTTATGAAACTCGTGGTTTTTTATCTATGTTGTCTATATTATCACTGTGTTTTGAAACTACTAACATCTTCACTTTACGGGCAACAACATTTTGCTGAGACTACATTTTGTCTGCGAATGTACCCTACTAATGACAACTTCATGACCAGGTCAGACATGAACACTCCCAGAACATACCACGGCTTATCAGCTACATCAAACGCTCTTTACTGTATAGGAGGTAATCTATTGGATTAATATTGGTAGGCGGGGTCACTGTGCACTGTGCACGTAGCACTTGTATGTGATTCATATCGCTCAAATAACTGATGTTTATCTATTATTTAGTTAGTTAGGCTAAGATAATTAATACTTATATTAACAAATGTATTGTGTGGTATGCTGGATTGGCTTGGTGTCCGGAGTTATTTGTTATGTAATTTACACTAATACACTCTGCAGTCACAGTGTGTGATATACGGGCAATTTAGCTATAAGGCTTCTGATTCTCGGCCAAAATATTCGACATAATTCAGCAATTTCATTCAACCCTGGCCTCGTCCCTTAATTAATTTGCTACATGCTGTATGCCTCTTATCTTTTCTTCGGTGGCCGTGTCGACACTTGATTAATATCTCAACTTGTAATACAGTTACCTAGCTTTCAAGTTTATTGCTCGTTCCTCTCACGTATACAGTATATGAGCTTTCAAGCTTTCTGTTCAGGAAGCTTGAAAAAGCGCCGCGCACAGCGATTTGCGAGCCAGGTAAGTAATAGTATAATACAGATCTTAGAATATACTCTGTACTGTGTATAATGAACATAATTTACTTATACATTCTACTGCCCTGCAGGAACGTCAGCGATTAGTGGGATTATAGAAAACTCTCAGCTAAAAACAGTGGAAAGATACTGCCCGGTTTTAAGAACGTGGTCTCCCATTTCTCCATTGGTGAGTCCGAAAAATGTTTTCCATTTGCTCCGACTTACCCATTTAGTTCGAGCGTGCTAAATCACTCTACAGTCGATCTTCGAGATTGTTCTAAAAGGGCCCCCGACGGTTGTAACCAACTTCAATCGATGTATTTTTGGACGCTGATTCCGAATCACCCCCCATGACATAGGGTTAAAATGCTCCCCTGACGAGATATTGGCGAAAAACTGTCTCGATCACGTGATATGACCGTATAAGGAAGTTAGTCTAATTTCTCGTTAGGGTTAGGGTTTCAGCATATGTTTTTGTTAAGGATCGGGTTAGGGTTAGGGTTGGGATCAGATTAGAGGGTTAGGGTTTCGAAAAGTCGTTCAGAACTAGCTAGAGAACGGGTTGAAAAAGTCACGTGACAGTCGAGTGTAGACAGTAGAGTGATTAATCATCATCCCATTTAGTTTGGGTAAATGTTGCACCAAGAGTTATGAAATAGATAAAAATATGAGCTCCACGCTTTCTATCACCTACAAAGTTTACCAGTCATAGGCCTATTATGGTTCGTTCACATATTACGTAATCACTTTTTGGACAATTTGTACCCCCCCCCCCTCCGTAATCAGTTTTCAGTTTTACACGTAGCTAATGTGTTAAAATTACACTAGCGTACTTACTACTCATTTGGAACCCCCGCCCCTCGACTGATTACGTAATGAACCATATTTCACAGCACATTTTAATGCCCACATGATCTGCAGGGAGTGCCGGTTATGGCACCGGGGTGTTGTGCGGTGGACGATACAATCTACTTATTCGGGGGTAGAAACCTGTCGCACACCGTTATTTCCTACTCACATCATGCTGCTACCTATACACGTTAGTTTACACTTTACCTACTTTTTAGGGATGCAGTTACTGCCGCAGGATGCATACTGATACAGTATAGACGTACTTTTGACCTTATTTTACTTCTATGTAACAAAACTATTCGATCATTCAACGTCTGCGTTCTCTAAGTCTAACCACACATGTAAATCTGTAAATTGGTTCGATGCAAAATGCTCACGCACCATTTGTTGTGCAGTTGAACGACCCATGACGGTGCCTAGGGGGCAGGGTGTAAAGACGGTTTGTGTTGGTCACATGATATACTGTATTGGTGGATGTCCTGGCTTTGGGACCCTTCGCAGCATGGAGAGGTATGCAATTTTTGATGTCCTAATTTGACTCTCTGACCTCAGATGTAGATAGATTTCTATGCACGCTATGTTACATGAACACTATCACGTACGGCCACGGATCATGTCGGGCACTCAAATTTAATATTCTATTCCCACAGGTTTGACACTATAACGAAGACTTGGTCAGCATTACCCTCTAAGAGTTTCCCACAAGGTTCAACTTGTTTCACGGTCATGTGAACTGTTCTCTAGTCGACCGTTCGGCTATTATACTTTTCACATGGCACGTGCGTAACATCGTAACTGAGATAACATGTTATTTTAAAGATACCGGACATTATTATAATATAATACCTGAGAAGAGATGCAGAATTTTTAAATTTCAAGCCATAGTCAACACGTAGGTGTTTTTAACTAATATAGTGCGTGGTTGGATGACAATAACAGGTTTAGGATTTAACTTACATGATCTTTACTTTGGCAAACCACTATTAATAAATGTGGAGTTAGATATACAAATATAAGCGGTGAAATTATTTTTTACATTATATTTGCAACGAAAATGACACAATTTCGATTAAACATTTGTAAAAAAGGATAGTGTATAACGAATAGTATGTGTATTTAAGACTTAATTATAAATCTTTGTTCATGTCTATGTTCTTCTGTAAAACAATTAATAATTAACTTATAATTTTATGTTATAACTATTTAAACAATATTATATTTAATTCCTGATATACAAGTACTGTTCGAAAAACAAAAGCGTGACATAAACTTCACACGTTGTTCAAAGGATAGGATTTCATAGATGAGAATTGGTGATATGTACTTATAACGACATTGCAAGCTAACTGCAGTAACCCTACTGATTTGGAGGAAGTTTGTAACCCAAATGCACCCTTTTTTACAGATGTTCGGGATTACAACTCCCCCTGTTTTTATCATTACATTCTGGTGACATGAGAACACGTTCACGAAGCCTTTTTGTAGAGACGTTTCTTTAATGATTCTTATTAATATATACTTTTTAATTTTAACTTTCGTCGGTTGATAGCAAGGGGCTGTTGTTTAAACTTTAGTAATGTTTGTTTTCATAATATTTACATGTGTATTAACAATTCTTCAGATACTTTACAATTTGTTTTCTTCAAACAATAAGGAAGATCGTTTTATTTGGTTTTAAATTTCATCATAGCAATTTAAATAATCTCATTATAAAGAATTTTACATAACACTGAATCACATCTTAAAATTCCAGGCACGGTAAATTAATTAGAGTTAAGATATTAGGGACTCGTTTACAACTTACTTAATGCCGCGTTAATCATGGTAATATATGATATTAACTAAACTATACCCTTAATAATTTTGGAGAAAAATAAGTGACGTTTGAACTGCAAAATAAGATCGTGACGTTTAAAGCTGTGAAAAATTTACGGGAAAAGGATAATTTAAACATATTTTTCAAATTAACCAAACTTACAGGGTATTCGGGGGCAGTGGATTCATTACAACTCAACGTGGGGATTACATCTGTGAAATAATCTACAAAACTCTTTAAAAGTCAGCTCAATAAATAAAACCACCATATAACTGAGACTAATAATTAATTATTTATTAATAATTAACTACAATAACTTTAATTACAGTGATAATACTGAAATTGATTATCATAAACACTGTAAGAAACTTTAACCGGTACCACAATATTGTACCATGTAAAATTGACCCTCCCATTCAATTCCTAGAGCGGAACGGTCCAGGAAATGAGCTTTCCCAAGATCTGAATTCGGTGAAAATAAAAGTCGTAGAGCTGGTCTAAAACTGAGAAAGTGGCAATATCACTTTAGAGCTAAGATGGCCTCATCTACCTCCTTTTTAATGTCCAACTCCATTGGCGCTGCTGCGGAGGCGGAAGTTTCTTCAAATATGTCGTCATCCAAACATTCATCTTCTTCTTCTTTTTTAACTTCTTTTATATCAACAGGGGGGAGTTCTTCTGTGTTCGGTGTGATGTCTGGTGCTGCCTCTTCGTTTACCTCCATTGGTTCTTCTGAAAGATAATTTGGTAATAATGAAAGTCATTAAAAATGTCTTCGTGATATCAAGAAAGGATTCAGCACTTTTGAGTTTGAAAAAACTTGATTTAGTTTTTCCAAACTAAGTCTAAATCAAAAAATTGAAATTTTAAAGTGTCAAGATGGTCCCAGGATCCATGTTTATTGTTTATCTACCTTTGACAGGGACAGGTTCTGAAGATAATTGTTCTTCGGGAACAGCAGGCACAGAAGCGGGAGGGGGAGGAGGAGGAGGAGGAGAGGAAATCTTGGACTTGTTACCAGTAAGAGCTGTCTTTGCTTTTTCCAGAAGTGCGAGCATTGTCGCTTCCTTCTCTTTATCTACGACAAGGTCTGGTGGTTTGAATGTTGTGGGAGTCACCAGATCTTGTGAGATTTGAGAGTCGATCCTGTAGAGGAATACTCGTTAAACATTATTTTATTTTATTCTACAAATCCATAATTCATTTTTCGTATAATTTCTTGGCGTTATCAAGTCCGAATTTCCCTTTTCCGAAGGTCTTTGCCTACATTTAAAACGATTCGATTAAAAAATGGCAAATTGTTAAAAAGTCAAACTAGGCTTACCTAGATCTAGAGCCTGAGTCAATACTGTCAACAATACTCTCGTTCATCGTTACTTCAAGTCCTTGAGTAACGTTACCTTCGTCAATACCCTCCTATAGGACAATACAGCGTCATTACACAAAAGTGAAAGGTCACAGTTATAACTAAAATAATTTACGAGAATGATTTTGTGTGGGCAGTTCGATCCGACTCCACATCCCTGCAAAAGCCTAAAAAATCGAAATTAACAAAAATCTCCAACTAAAGTCCTGGTGGTACCTGCGTGCAGTGAGAATGGCAGACTTTGCCATCCTCCGTCCTCCTCTGAGCGTTAATAAAGTACCACTCATCCTCCTTCTGATTGAACTCTTGTTGAAGTCTGTCGTGACACACGTGACAAAAGTCCTCATCGTCCGCTTTTAGTTGACACCTCTTTAACCCGCAGAACTGAAACAAGAGGTTTAGTTTTTAGGTGGAATTATTGAAGTTGGTGCCACACCCAAATGTTAAAATTGGTGCTACCAAATAATACGGACTCCAATGCTTATTCAATTCTGGCCAATATGTTCATGTTAATTGCTATTATAATCGCAAATGTTTGCAGCAACAAAACTAACGTCATCATCCAGAGGATCTGCGTCAGCTCTCTGCCAGGAGTCACCAGGATTATTATCATTATTGTCAGCATTGTGCACAGCTAGTGAACCCGAGTTGGAGGTAGCTGACGTCCAGTCATCTGCTGTTAGGTACCTGGTGGGAACACCACTTGGTTAATTTAACAGTCGATATTACTGACGTGCCGTATTTGACGGGGCGATATAACAAATCTAACCGTACAAGTGTAGACGATATCAAGATAATATCAAGAGTATCTCACCACTTTTTGGCGATCTGGCCGCTCTTGGACATGGTATTCATACGGAAGTGCCAATCGAGGTGGACGTTGAAGGACTTCACCTCCTCCTCGTCAAACCGTTTACCACAGTTAGTACAGGGAGTTCCTGTGTACATGCTGTTTATTAGAGCGTCTTTGTTCAAACTGAAGGTAAAGGTCGAGGTTAAATATCTCCAGTAGAGAAAGTAGCCAAGTTTTGTGTGGAATCGATCAAGGGCAGTCGGAGACTTAAACTAATTGTCGGTTGTTATTGCCAGTATACCACCAGTGGTGAGCAAAGCTAACAAATGGTGTGTTTTTCATTTTGTTGTAATCATAAAGGCACTCTTAAAAACCAATAAATTATTGTTTTTACTAGCTAGAACTCGTTTTAGATAATCCTGTCTTATCAGTTATCAGTAAATTTCACACCTTATCAGTAATTTTCACCTCTTATCAATAAATAGTTTAATCTGAACTGTGATACACCGTGTAGTCTTGTACATTACACAGACTATACATCATGGACTTTTCTGTCAGTATTCTACATGACTTGGAGGGACAATTTCAGACTTTATCAGATGATATATCGAAACAAGTGAAGTCTGCCAAAATCGTTTTAAACAATCCTGTACTTTCAATACTCAACACTCTCAACATGGTTGCAGTAGTAACTTAAAACTCAAAGCATCGGTATTATTAGAAATATAATATGCAGTATGCACGATAAACTAAAATGTATCGACAATGGCTACAATATCAGGACTCTGTGAAATCTACCTATTAACGGGAAAGCTTGCTGGGAACGATTTAAACACTTCAAGCAGCTGAAGAGATGTCTTTTTTCTCGGTCTTGGTCGGCGAGAATCTCGGCGCTTACCCGGGATCCACTTACTTCCATCAGTTTCATTCAACATCCCTCTTAGAATGGGTCACGGTACGCTTAAAATAGGCATAAATTATGCATAAATAATGTGCATATATTACAAAATAACGGTATCAGTACGTACAAGAAGACAAACGATCACACAAGAAAAGTAGGTTTACACTAAGTTATATAGGTCCGAGAAACGGGTGTTAACAAATATTCCGAGAAAAGTTAACAAAGCTAGGTAAAAACTGGGTAACTAGGTAACAAAACTAAGTAAAAACTAGGTAAGAAAACTAGTTAACAAAACTAGGTAAAAACTGGGTAACTAGGTAACAAAACTAAGTAAAAACTATGTAAGAAAACTAGTTAACAAAACTAGGTAAAAACTGGGTAACTAGGTAACAAAACTAAGTAAAAACTAGGTAAGAAAACTAGTTAACAAAACTAGGTTAAAAAACTAGGTAACAAAATTAGGTACAACTAGGTAACAAAGCTAGGTAAGAAATGGACATGTTTCAACCCTGTGTTGGCTGCAGACAAAATAATAGCTTAATTAGCTTTGTTTCATTCTCATTACAGCAAATTATCAGTTACAGCATTTACAGCCAATTAGGCCTGTGGTATGAGGCCCTTCCTTCCGGCGGCCCCAATTTAACACTAAATTGAACCGCTCTGCGACAACATACCGCTTAATAATAGGATATTGTGGCGCAAAAAGTAGCATAATATGTACAAAATGACGGCACTCAAAAGTTACAACAGCGCACTGACGATATGATATAATTATCTGCTTTGTTTGATAATTTGTTTGATATTACAAACATGACAATTGACACACTGTTGCGTAGACACAACAACTAAAGAGAGATGACAGCCAACATGACGGTTATAATAATGACGGCCAACATAACGCCTTATCTATCACAAAGTGAGCTGGCATTAATTCAGAGTTCTTATAACGTTCACGTCATGTGAAACATAATAAGTCCACCATCAAGCATGCACCGTATGTGTGGATATGTATGTGTACTGTTATGTATATATCTGTATGTACGTGAGATAACGCTATATATAGTTATAATTATCAATTTATTGTAAATTGAAGAGCTTCACTTTTTGTTAAACCTTTAATTTGTAAAACTTTACTTAAACTATTTTGTGCTGTTATATGTAAACAGTAAAATAAGTCAGGAGTGATAAAAACGTGGACGTGGTCGTCTACAGTTTTATACAAAAAGTAAATAAAAAACGATCAACAAGACGCCAAGAGAGGCTGAGCGCAAGTGGCAAGTGTGATAACTCAAGAAGTATTAATATTATTACTGAAAGAGATAAGAAATATAACCATTTTTGGCATAATAACAAAATCAAGCAAACTATTTAAGACAAATACAAGATCTCTTAGTAGCAGCTGGTATAGAGCAACTTTGTCAATCAAAGAAAGATCGCATAAAAATGCAGATAAATTGCACAAAAATGCAAGTATAGGCACTTTACTTACTCTTACTTAGCGGACATTAAAGAGCGGTTTCTAGAATAAGACAGCCTTGACACTGCAGATAGAGAGCGACAAGCTGCACTCAATCGGGTTGTCACATCATGACAGCAGAGGTTGTGCGATAGTCTACGATAGTGATATCTGGACCATGGTTGGTAATCACAGGCCGGGAGGTTTCCCCTCCGTAATATGCTAAAATTAGTACAAATTATTTAAAAATGTTTGTGTGATGACACTGTTTCAGTCAAGTTGTAGGTGAGGTTTCCCTGAACTGTTCGGCCTTGTGACACAAAATCACTTCGTACACAGACACGATGTCGGACACGGTTATAAAGTGAGACTGCCATTAACACGTACCAATGTAAACTATATTATCTGTCTCCAAGTTAAAATTTATTGGATGTCTTGTTTGTAAGATCGGTTACAGAATTTAATACACTTTTACATTTAAAATATTTTTGAAGGTGTGATATTAAGTGTAAACAAATATTTCGCTGTGCTTGTTTTCGCGGTGTACCGTACAGGAATGATAACGCTTTTGTGGCCGGACGCCGGTAGAATGTAGATCAACATGAATGGAACAGAAAATGATAGATCAGTAAAGAGTACAGAGAAGTATGCCATCCCGGAAACTAAGTACAGCTCAGGACGATCATGTGATAACGGACGATGTTATGATCATGCGATAAAGGACGATGTTATGTCATGCGATAACGGTTGGACTTGGCTTCTTACCAAGAAACGGGCATACAATTTGACTACCATCTGACGGTAACCAGGGACATAAAAATGATTGTAATAATTCTTATCATGGAAGTTGGTTGGTATGAAAGTTCATTAGTCCTCAGTAAACTTAAGTCCCACCTTGGTCTGCCATGTGAGATAAGAATTTAGAAGACAACTGTAAATCTAGTTAGCCAATGAAGGCGTGCTAATCGCAAACTGAACGTGGACAAAATTACTGTAAAAAGCAAGTTGTTATTAACTAAACTTTATTAGAAGCAGCAAAAGTTGGCAGGAGAAAATAGAAATGAGTACTAAACTTTTACAAGTAGCAGCTAAAGAAAGCATGAGTACGAGTGGAATATTTTACTTTTAAACAGCTACATTCAAAAAATCAAACATTTGGGGATCGCCACTATTTTTGCTACCAACCTTTTAATATGGGATTTCTTGTATAAATGGCGTCAACAATTACACCAAACATGGCGAAAATTTGTGTCCTAAAGTTTCAGTAGTAGATTTTTTATTTCATAACAAAATTGTTCGATATACCTCCACCACCTCTAATTTGAAACAGTTCGTGACGATAGCAATATAATATTTCACGGCCAGATGAAAACCCAAAAATATAAAAACCCAAAACTCCACAAACTTCATAATGTAGTCGAAGGAGAGTTTGAAGGGAGCGTTCTGGACCACCAGACCTGTCTTGAGCAGCTTGTCAAACAGGGAAGCCGGATCTAGCTGTTTAACTGGTGCTGGGGGCTTGTCTGGGACCTGTGAGAATATTTCATGTTATCATGGAACAACTTCCTTACTAGAGGTGGAGTTATCAGTCTGACAGTAAATCTTGTATAATTCATGTCTTTTTATTTTTGACTTTATAATATAACACTAGTGTAACCCGGCCTACGGCCGGGATTTCACTGCCGCAGTTAAAAAGGGTAGGAGTAATTACCCGCTGAGTCAAAACCCGCATTATGTGACCCAATAGTTTCTTAAACAATAATCTCATAATCAGTTATTTCTTGTGGATAATTAAGTCATTATTAGCCATGAGGCACCACACTCCATGATCATAAGGTCTGAACACCGAGTATTACACCTCATCACTCCCGTCTTGAACCGCTTTCTATTTTTATTTAAATCGTTATAGAAATTAACCCTTGTTAACTCCGCACCACACCCGCATATTATATTTGAAAACACGCATAACATTGTCGTATGAACTCTCTCTCTCTCTCTCTCTGCAGTCCAAACAGACCCCAAACACTAACAGTCCCCCCTCCCCTAATAAGCTTAAGGTATAACATTACAGCGAATCTTCCGGGATAATCCAATTATGACGCTACTTAAATGCAGCTATAACATATTACACAGTAATTAGAGAGAGAGAGCAAGCCCCGTAACTCTTGCCGTTCTGCTCACGCAATTTTATGTTACATTTGTGGTACAAAACCATCAATTAAACCACTTACCATCGGCCGATTTAAAAAAAAATTTCCTATGGGCTTCATCAGAGTTTTGTCGACACTATACCGAAAAAATCAGTCCCGTAACTCTTACCGTTTTTTTTGTATAACCGACCGGAAATTACACACGGACAGACAGACAGACAGACACACACACACACACACACATTCTGGTGTTATTAAGGTGATAAAACCAACATCCCTACTTCATGTGCTTATCTCTCCTTACCTGTAACCGAGGAGCAGGTTGTCTCTGACGCGGTTGTGGAGCAGTAGGACCAGCAGGACCAGGTAATGTAGGGGCAGGGGAGGGTCCGCTCACTCCGGGTGGGCCCGGTTCTCGGGGCCCGTAAGATCCATCGAAACTACGGTCTCTCGACCCACCTCGAGGACCTCCACGGAACTGGAGAACAATTTTAAATAAAACTACAGAATATGACCCGGACAGTTGACTCTGGGTTCATGTGACGCTGCTCTATAAAGTCAAGATAGTGAAATAAATATGATTGCCAGTTCTGCAGCTCGATGAATCAACGAAAAAGATATAACCTGCACAATAATATTTTGGCTCTATTCTTATGCACTAACCGATCCTCTGTGCCGTCCAGGGAACCTGAAGTTAGGGAAGTAGTACCGTATATCTTCCTTTAGAGCCTGGAACTCTCCGTCCTCTATATTACCTTTCTCAAAGTCACCAGCAGCCTGAAATGTTGCTGGGTTACACACCATTAGAGACAATACCATGGTTTACTGTGCGCGTAATAAGGTTATAAAGCAGCTCTTAATATTTGAATGGCATGTTGACTGCTGAGTACTGTGGGTTGTTCTCACGAGTTTAGAGACAAGACTGCACAGCGGTAGAAACATATACTGGAGTTAAAAACTAAACAATGATTACATCGACGAAACAATTAACCAGTCTAATATAACCCTAATTGTAACGAACAATCATCAACACAACAGAACAGTTCTCTCTACTAAACGGACTACTGAATACTGACTACTGACTACTGACTACTGACTACTGACTACTGACTATTGACTACTGACTACTGACTGCTGACCAGTGACCAGTGACTTACCACATGGAAGAGGCGTGTGAACTGCGAGGGAGCATAATCAGCTTTAACCAGATATCTATGAGGTAAGTTCTCCGGTTTAGAAGGGAAGTTATCCCTCCCTCTTGCTCCTCTACCACCACGACCTCGGAATCCTCCTCGCTCCGGTCGTTCGTGGTCCATATCTCGCTGTCCAGGTGGACCCTGGGACAGAGTTTCAGTTAACTGTGTGAAAGGTTAGTGTCTTAAACTTAACTGGGGCAAATTTGGCGTCTCGGAAAGAAAACGTTTTCTTTATCAAAACGGAGTTTATCAATAAGTCCCTCTCGATTTATCAACCAGCTTCTATTACAACTTACATGTGCACCACGGCCTCTGGGATATCCCCGTCCTCTGTCTCCTCTGTCTCCTCTTTCTGATCGGTCTCCCCTGTCATCGTATCCCTGATCATCAGGCATCCTCCGATTATCTGGTTTCCTGCGGTGTAACGTACAGGATGAGATCCAGCTTCCACAACTACTTATCCTGTGATCTTCAGAGCTTGCACTGGGGTGCCCGCTCATGGTTAACAACAACACAAGCGCTTGGCCTTGGTGTACTTATACATCTAGCCAGGATGAAAGACCGCTATAACGATGACCACATCACGTAGTCAGAAAGTGACGTCTAGCTAGAACAAGCACTCCATCTCGTAATCAGTAAACAACAAACTTGTCAAATTTGATAGTTTTTCAAACTTCCGCAGAATTGCTCGCTGGAACACGTGCACAGATATATGTTTCATTCGTCCTTCCGTTATCATTGAAGCAACCTTCATGCTAGGCATGTGGCACCCATTGTCCTTCTTCAAAGCATTATACCCGCCCTCGGTAAGGCATAACGTCATGGTTGTCTATTATAGAAAACCATGACGTTATGTTTTGATTGAAGACGGAATTTCACTCTGATCTAAAATCAAAGTATGTATGTACCCGAAATCGCATGATTTAATACATACAAAGAATTCATCTATGCGAATTTGAAGGAAATTTAGACCAACTTGACAAGAAGCATGTGAAAGAAAAGCTTTTCGCCGTGGTGTAAGGTACAATGAACTATTAAGAGATAGCACCCACAAAAGTAAGTACCGAGACTGGAACTTCGAATGGTATTGTTAACGAGACAAATACTTGAACTACCTATAGATCTAGAATTTGCAGAGATAAAGATATTATACTCATAATCGCGTGATATAAGTCCAAGAATTTCAAATAAATCAAGACCAGCTTGACAAAAAACATCTAAACGATGAAGCTGGTTTCGAAGAGGAGATATAAACACAGGAGAAAGAAAAACAAACCGGTCGATGGTAAAGTTATCCTGAGGAGGCTTTTTAGGTCCGTCACCGAACATGACAATCTCCGGGAGATCACCCTGAGGAACTGCAGCCACGTCATCCATCAGAACACCATAGTACTTCCTCTCCGGATTTGCAGGAATTGGAGGAGTACCACCACGCCGCATGTGGGGGCTACCTCTTCTGCCACCCCGGCCACCACGACCACCCTCCCGCCTCCTCTCGATATCATCTCTGGGAGGCACGTCACGTCTTCTGTCCAGCACGTCACGAGGAACAAATTCTCGTCGGTCGTCCCGTCGCCAGTCGTCGTCCCGCCTCATATCGTCTCTCATCGGACCATCCCGCCTCATATCGTCCCTCATTGGACCATCCCGCCTAATATCGTCCCTTATAGGACCTGGACCATCCCGCCTTATATCTTCTCTTATAGGACCAGGACCGTCTCCTCTAATAGGGCCAGGACCATCTCCTCTCATAGGGCCGGGACCGTCTCTTCTCAAATCGTCCCTTATAGGGCCGGGACCATCTCCTCTTATGGGCCCGGGACCATCTCTCATAGGGCCGAGACCGTCTCTTCTCATATCGTCCCTAAGAGGACCCGGACCATCTCTCCTAATGTCGTCTCGCACGGGTCCGTCCCGTCTCATGTCCGGTCGACGATCATCACGTGGTCCAGAAAAGTCTCCTCGCTGTCCCGGAAACGCATCCCTTGGAGGGAAGTTTTCCCTTCTAGCCTCGTCCCTTCTGAGATCGTCCCTCTGAGCAGGAGTTTCGCGGTAATGACGATCAGGAGATGCAGATGATCTGAAAGGTGGTCTATCCCTGGGGTCTGGTCCAGGAGAATCCCTCCTCTCAGTGAATCTAGGGTCTGGGGAACGGGAACCTCGTTTCTCATTATACCTGGTAAAATAGAGACAGTAAGTGTGATGAAACACAAACTGTAGGTGTACAATTGGCGATTGATAAATCTGTGAATTGTGTAACCTCATATCTAGCCAATCATTTCATATAAACTGAATATAAAATAAGTAATTAAATCTTGAAATCATCCTGAACGAACCTAGGATCAGAAGTTTGTCTGTCCTCGAAAGATGGCCTCATTGCAGCTGGGGCGGGGCCGGGTGGGGGTTTATTTGCTACCGGGGCAGACTCTTCTGGATCTGATGTATTATAAGTTGTGTAATGTTCTGATATCAAAACAAGTCTCATGGAGCACACACATTATAGTTCAAAGGTTATAAATTAGAAGCAAATGAGTGCCAGTTTGATCAACAGTTAAGTAAAATAACACATACCTCCAGGGAGCTTGAGAGGCGCTATGATCTTTATCTTCCCTTTCCCAGGATCCTTCTCTAGCCTAACTGGACCAGTAGGAGCAGGAACCGGAGGTCTTATATTGGGAGCAGGTGGCCGGAGAGGGATATCCTGAACTTGCGGGGGCGGGATAGGACGAGGAGGGGCAGGTAATGGAGCCGGAGGTCGAGGAGGGATGAGAGTAGGAGGAGGAGGTCTGACGAACTGTTTCTCAGGAGAGGGAGGCTGTGCTGTGTTCTCGTGGGAGGGTTTACCCTGGGGAGTGGGCATGTTGAATAAATAGCAATAATAAAGTACAATTCCTATAATTATAGTAAACAGAAGCCCCCTTCCACAGGTATTATGTGGAGGTGGTATTGGTTGGTAAGCCTTGTGTGGGAGGGAAATTACCAGTGTCCGCTCCCTGTTACAACTTAACTGACTAATTCTCAGTCAAGTTTAAAATTGCAATTCAATTATTGTAGTTCCATCAAATGTTTCACATTCGATCTAATAATCGATTTCTTCTGAGCATTTACTATCGACCACATATTCACAGGGTAGCAACTTACAGGCATCATGTAGTGATTAGGAGGGGGTGGTCTGACGGGAATGTTCATAGGTGCCGGGTTAACAGTAGCAACAGGGATGGGAGGTTTAGGTTCCCCAGGTCGGGGTCCGGCTGGCCGGGATCTGGAGGTGTGAGGGTCTCCGTCACTGTCCACACTCATGTCGCTACCACTATCGTCCTGAACATATGTTGGGTTACCAAGGTTTGGTGTGATTGATCGCTTGTGGTGAGTACCACGCCTCTTCTCATCTCAAAATACCTTGGATGTGTTTAAACTCATGGAAGCAGTCCAGTTTCTGTTTACAGTTCTCAGAACGTCATGTGCGGAATCACCCATTAAACAATTGAGATTCAGATCAGTGCAGTAAGCAGTTGTTGATAATTTGTAGCTGATATGATCAAAAAATTATGAAAAAAGGGTTAATGAACAGTTTTCCGACATGGACAGTCTGGAATATAACACGGTCTTACAAACCCACGATAGTTTCACAAATCTCTAGACTATTTAAGTTGCAACTACCTTATTATTTTCCCGAGGATCTCCGCTTGTGCTTCGGCTGCGGAGAGGGTACACTCTCTTAGGTTTCTGTTTCTCAGTCTCGCTTCCCTCGCTGTCACTCTGTCTCAGCCGCTTCTTCTCATTTGCTTGCTCGACCGCTTTCGCCTTCTCTTCGGCTGAAAACACATATTTGAAACATTTAAAATGCTAAGATCAATAGAAGAGAAACAAAACATATCTAGACCAAATAAAGAGGAATCAGCTCTAGTATCAAACACCATGAATTATCTAGCAAACCTGATATTTTGGGTATTCTGCCGACTCTAGTTATTTTCTGGGGCACGGTAGCGGGGGCATTAGCGATAGATTTTCGAGCAGTTCGTTTTGTAGGTTTAACAGCCGGAGGTTGCATTTCCGGGTGCTTTGGGGCCTTGTCGAGTTTTCTTTTGTCTTTAGGTTTAGAAGGAGATTTTGCTTGTTGAGATGCCGGTGTTCCTTTGACAATTTCACCCAAAACAGAGCTCTCAGAATCCTGAATGATAGGTCATAAAGTCATTAAAATCTTGTTTTTCTTACTATACCAGCTATATTATTGAATATTTCGAAAAAATACACAGAATTTAGTGTACAAGGCCACAAGGGGACTGGAGGAAGTGGGGGACAGTAATCATTTAAGTAATTTTATAACTGTAATGAATGGATATGTAACAAATTACAGTACATATCTCATCTGCAGGATCAGAGGAGATATTTTTTTCTGATGACAGTCAACAATGCTTGATTTTAAAGAAATGTCCTTATTCTAAATCCTTATTTTCGAACTACCCAAAGTAATTCTAGCCAAAATGTCTCCTCACCGAATATTACTACTCAAGGTAGGTCAATAGATAATGTAATACTTACAGAGGCTGTAGCTTTATTCTCATTCAACAGACGTTCCTTTTGTTTCTTCAGTTGTAACTGAAGCTGCCGACGTTCAAATTGTTTCTTCTCCTCTTCAAACTTTCGCTGTGCTTTTTCTAGAGCGGCCTTTTCCTGAAATTAAAGTTATCTCTGAGTCACAAGAATACATAATACATTCTTCACATGTGATATCATCAGTAGAATATCAGGTGGTAGACGAATGTATTTTATCGATAGTTTACACTTTTTAATCACACTTTCTGTCCATCCGATCACTCTACCGATGATATCACATAATGGGTAAGAAATGAATAATAAGCATTCAGTAATTTGGTAAGTTTTCATTGGTTGATTAGGAAAAAGTGTTGTTTTACAACAAACAGTTGGTCGGGTTTTTGTCTAAATGAATAAATCTGGCAGTCATTATTTAGTTTAATCTAATGTTTTGCTATTCAATATGGAATTAGATACAGTTTGGAACACATATATTGCACAGAACTATTACCTTCCTGATTCTCGCAATCTCGTCAGCCTCAGCAGAAGGGACGGCTGCTGCTGATGGGGCGGGTCTCTAAGGAAATTGGTTTAAGTTTAGCGGAAAATTGTGGAGATTTACATCGGCCATCTCTCCTTTAGGTCGACCACTAATTTCAGCCATGGAAGTGACAAGAATTAACATAACGTTTCTGATGACTGTTTGTAATCATGTCTCATCTTTATTTGTTACTTTAATTTGTGCAAAAAACTGTGTTACGATTTTCCCGCCAAAACAGATTCAAAAGCAAACTTTATAACCATCGTTTCCCATCAAAAATTATTTAGACCTTACATCATGTTTGATCCGTTACATCATGTAGGGCCTTACACAAGGTCCGTGAAGACAAATCGTTTCTACTTATAGCAGTTTCGTTAAAATGTAAGTTAATAAACAGGGAGCACACGTGGGGCGACCTCGGGAGAGATGGACGAACAACTAACAATACCAGAGGACTCATAGAATCAGTGTTTCGACTAATTTGGTAAAATTAAGGATTATTGTACAATTGAGTAAATAGTCTTCAAAGATGTATAACCGTTAAGAAGTTGGGGTTGATGTGGACTGTAGTCGATGATGCCTCTGATTCGTGTATTTTAGGCCAGTTTGTGTCAATTTCGTGTACAGATGCATCAAGATCTTTGAGTTTGTTGACAGTGAATATATCTTTCCATGTTAGGCGGAGTTTGAACAGAGCTTTCCGTACAGTCTCGTCACCCTGAGTGCAAACAGTCACAGCCAGAGTTAAGTATTACACGTCCGGTTAAAGAGCAGGAGAAATAGGTTCTTAAAGAGTTTAGAAATCAATAGAGGGGAGATTAGTGAATAGAGTGGGATATTAGGTACATTTTAACAGCTGTTCAGTCCAGGAATTTGGTGACCTGACAACTGTTCCTTAGCGCGGCGCGAGTGACATGGCGAATTCTGACAATTTCAACAATTGAAGTGTGAGCTTACATTGGGACTCTATAGCGATAATAAGGGCCGCGCGTTACATAAACGCAGTGCCCAATTTCTAGCTCTACTAGGAAATGTGTCTCTGCACAATTTGAATTACCTCTGTGAACGTATTTGTGAACATCCGAACAACACATTTGGATATGTGTTCAATGTACGGGGCCCCTACGTTCTTTATGATTGAGTCTACAAGGTACAAACATGGCAATTTATGAGTCCCCGACGCCTGAAATATTCACATTAATTTTTTCTTCAAGTTGGGTTAGTTTTGTCAAAAGTTTTTAAATCATTTAATTTGAATTTGATTGAAACAACAGTCCTTGATAAAATATAATTATAGCATGTAAGAAAGAGGAAGATTGATGATGACGATGGTAATTCAGAGCCACAGTCCAAACCAACCTTGATCAGGTGATTTTCTATAGTTTCAGTTATAGCTTTACCAAACTTTCTGTTCTCGCCGGCTACAATGGACAAGGTATTAATGAGCGGTTTGGAATTTCCCTTTAGATCAGAAAGTGAGGCCTTGTAGTCTTTCTGAGCGTTCAATTCAGCCTGCTTTAGCTCGGCCTGTTTGTCTTTTCTCTCCTTATCTCCATAGAAACGTGTTATTTTGAGGCTGTTGCTCATGCCAGGAGGGGTCCCACCCTGACCGAGAGCTAGATGATCAATTAGGGGACTCGTTATGTGCAGCTAATTGGACAGAAGATTAGAGTTATGAGCATATCTTAAAAAGGGGACAAAAAGGAATCAAGGATAATTTTTCATCGTTGGAAATTGAGATTCGAGGGAAATATGTTTTTTGTTTTAATTGAGATTGGGTGACCACAACTGTCATTATATGGATGGCTCTCTCATTTGAATGTAGAAGTCTTAATATTGAGGTTTTGAAATTGAGGTTTGATTAATTAATTTCAGCAACATTTCTGTTTATCAACAGATTATAATAGAATTATATCTGAATGTTATTCCTTTACATCGTAGTTCAGGCGATTGTACCCTATGAACCCCATCGAGATAACAAACGTGATTACATCAGAAAATAATTATATTGACAATCAATTGAAATGTATATACCAGGATAAAATTCACTACAAATATATACAAATACTGTCAAAAGTTGGGCCTTAATTAAAATTGAATGGTGAAAATGCTTCCAATGCTACCAGTAGCTGCATCCAAAATAAAGCCAAACTGAAATTCTAAGGCACAAATTACACTGCCAAACGATTAAAAAAACTAAAACGCATCAACTCTAACCAACAAAATTCATGAAGAAAAGTGATTTGGTTTATAAAAACCAGTTAGGAAAACCAGTTAGAACAACAAGGTTTATCTTTTGATAATCGTTTCTCTTTTAAAAGAAACATCTGACTGGGCCACTTTATCTTTTTGAAGGGAATGATCTGATCATCCGACTGGAATACTTCTTTTTTCACAGAAATGGCGTCGAGTAAGCGAAGTAACATTCCACACATAGTTGCTGTCTGTCCAATCTGAAACATCATTTGTTTTTATTGAAGTGCTATTTTCGGTTTGGCCCATTAAATTTTACACTGCTAAATCGAATATTTCTTTTCTAGTCTCAGTAAAATTTGAAGCCCAAATTTGCAGCCTTTTTTCAAAAACTGTTTTCAGTAGAAAACATCTTTTCATTGTTCATTTTAATGCTTTGAGTGGAGCTCCAGAGTCCAGAATATCAAAATTGTCCAGTTGGAATTTTAAAGATTCATGCCATCGCCTGTGTAATCGATCTAAAATAACGGACAATGTTCAGAAAAGTAGCGAACCTGAAAATCTTAAATTGAAACCCCACCTATGATATCAAGATACAGAAAACCCCGATTCGAGGAAAAGTGAACAGCCGCGGTAATTCAGCGTACGCGGTAAATCGAGGTTTTGTTTGTTCACATTATGTATGTTAAACCCTATTCGGGGGAAAATAAATGGCTGCGGTAATCTTGGAGATATTCTCTTTTACTCTCCTAATCTCGAAATGAGAGTAACGGTTCCAATATAATAGTACTATGTTTACAGTATGTACTTAAGGGGTATCCTAGGAAGTTTCTTGAACTTTTAACAGGTACCCCTCCTCATTTAACCCTCAATAAGTTTCCTATCATTTGGCTGAGTCGACCGAGGAGATCGCATAGATCCAATGGATCCTTAGCTACTCCCTAGACTAGGTGACACTGGGATTCGAACACTGAACCTTCTGCGCAGAAGGTGGATGCTCTAACCACTAGGCCACCTAGACACAATAAGCAGTATACAGTAAAACCCTGACTATATACCCCATTTTACCGCAAACACCGATATACCGCGGCCATTTCTTTTCCCCAAATGGGACTTAACAGTTAACATACATAATATGAATTATATACAAAACACCAATTTACTGCCAACCCCGATTTACCGCGGCAGTTTCCTTTCCCTAAAGGAAAACAGTTTCGCTGAACTGGTATGGTTCATACTAAACAATGAACACTGTAACCCATCTTTAACATCCCAAAGAATGCTTAAAGCGAACATTCCAGCTGCATCTCTGGTATTCAGCACTCTTAACATTATTCACCGTTTTCGGCGCATTGTACTTTTCCGGATTTTTAAAAAATATGTGCTAACTCGCAAATAAACCCTCTCATATTACTCACGTAATTCTGGTCATGGTAAGAATTACAAATTTTCATGACTCAGCCGAATTACAAATATTGAACTCGAAATTTTGGCAAAAGTCGACTACAGCTAGAAGGGATTCAGCGTACGTTTACATCGAAAATAGATGGCATCCAGCACCTCAACTACTGGCAGAGATGAAAGGCCCTAGATCTGATGTCATTGCAAAGAAGAAGAGAACGGTATTTAATCATCCACATGTGGAATGTTCTGCATTGCAAGTGCCCTAATGATATTGGTATCCAGTTCTCGGTGACTATCAGACATGGTCAAAAAGGTCAAAATGGTATAGGTAAATCCAGCAGTCAACGTAATCAAGCACTACATGACAACTCATTTTCAGTCACTGGACCTCGATTATGGAATGTAATCCCAACACATATGCACACCATCGAGGATCCTATGCAATTCAAAGCAGCTTTAATGAACTTTGTCAAGTCATTTCCGGACGAGCCTCCAGCTCCAGGATACAGCCGTCGGAATGGAAACTCTTTGCTGGATTGGAGTGGTGATAAAACAGTTTCTATACTTATACTGTCCTGGGGGTCGACTTCTTCGATGGCCCGATAGAGGATTCTATGAAGCCCACCAAAGTAACCATAGTAAGTATTATCTTACCAAAAGTATCCAAGAAATTTTACGAAACATTCCGGGAATCTAATTTGGACAAATATCTTGTAATCTATGAAATTTGTGTACAATTCTGACCAGAATTATTTCAGTTATTCAGAGGTAGCGTGCAGTTACTTCTGAGTCACCCTCTACATTTTTAACTTGGCAAAGTACAGTAAAACCCCGATGTAAATTCCTTAACAAAAAAGCTGGATTGAACAGTAGAGATTAGAGAAAGAACACGACATTTAACCGATGAAACCAGTATGGAATGTGGATGTTAGCATGACGAGCGACCTTATATCTATATCTAACCAGAATGCTTGTATTGAATACTCGTATTTAACGATGGTCAAACAATTACTGAAGTCTATGTAAAAAATAGACTAGCACGCGCTAGCATAGTGTAAAAATGATATCAGCACAGAAAGTTTAACCAGTATTTACTTACTGTGTTATAGTAGGGGTGAAGAGCAGTAAAACTTCCCGTAATGTTCGTTCCTCGTCAGGAGATTCTTATCTTTAGTTTTTCATCTAATATTGGATTGTTCCTCTGCAGTGTTCAGCTTTCGCTTTCGTGTGCGGCCAATCTTATCATTCATCCTGAAATAAGAACATATATTTAAACTCTTTTACTGGAAGATTAGATGTTATCATAATAATAATAATATTCTTTAAATTTGTATCAAAAGAGTAAAAGAAACAAAAATTTAGCCGAAATTAAACAAAATAAAATGTATTTGGTACTGATATTTATAATTCTCCCGACCACCTAGCCTGCACCCATGGGGTAACTACTTAACATTTATAATAAATTAATTTACCTTGGAGAGTGTTGAGAGAGCGGATGGTACATCTTATCACTGAAGCAAGTGGTCGTGCGGATCACGTCCAGCAGAATCAGTAGCACAGAATCAGTAGCACTTTTCAGCAGCACTTTTCAGCAGAGCTTTTCATTACCATTGACGTACTGAATATACTGGTTGATTTGTCTAAAAAATAACACCGATTCGTGTTTATAATGGTCAGTATTCGCTCTTGTGAGGGAATCGATCGTAATATGATAAGGTAGACTATATAAACATATTTATCGTTTAAAATGATTTTAGAACTACAAATAATCACAGTCATTATGTAAAGTGTAATCTCAACGTTCGCGTTTGTCTATGAAAAATGTATGTAACCGAAACTTAAACCGAGTTTATTAGACTACCTTATCATATTATCAACCCACCATTATTATATTATAAATCTCACTTATAAATGTAGAATTGTTATGGGGGGAATGCAACGTCAATTAATGTCAATTAATGTCAATTAATGTCAATTAATGTCAATTAATGTCAATTAATGTCAATGTCAGTTTTGCAAAATTTTGGAATACTGACATTAATTGACACGATATTTTTCGACCAGAGATTATGTAGTTCTACCATATTTTTAGCACTTTAGAACGTTTATATCATCAATTTATTCACTAATATCACATATGGAAATGTGAAATGTGAAAAATTCAGATCATTAAACAATAAAACTAAAATAAAACGGTTTTCCGAAATCTAATTTTCTTAAATGGGCGTGGCCATCCAAGGGCGTGGTTCTCAACTTCATCAGAACTTAAAACCCACATTAAACGAAATGCCTTCATGACATTTATGTTTGAATAACGAATCTTAAACAGCTAACATTACTCCTTCATGCTAAAAAAGCCGATTCTAGATATTTTACCTGTATAAGAAACCAATAAAATATGGGCGTGGCCGGTGGGGACCGAAGATGGAAGAGTTGGAAGCTAAATTTTTTTTTGTGGTCTTTGAACCTCAGGATCAACAGATAAGAACATAATCATAATTATTCAAGGACATTTTGTTTTTTTTTGAACCGGTCTAACTTACATAGACGTGAATATCTATCGAATAATGATAATCTCAAATTTCAAGACAAATTAATGTCAATTAATGTCAATTAATGTCAATTAATGTCAATTAATGTCAATTAATGTCAATTAATGTCAATTAATGTCAATTAATGTCAATTAATGTCAATTAATGTCAATGTCAGTTTGGGGTTTTTATGGAATACTGACATTAATTGACGTTGCATCACCCCCATTGTTATTTATTTGGCAGCATCTTGGAATTAAATAAAGATTAAGATGAAACCATAACTTAAAGCTTCATGAACTGATAGCATAGACAAATTATATCGACCAGATTTGTAGCATACAACTTCAAAGCGAATCAAAGTTATAATATATTGTAAAAATTTGAAGTATGTCACCATAACTAATTAGACTTTGACACCTCTTTACAGGTGATGCTCAATAATTTGTATCATATCATGATCTAACAGTAGTATGAAAATTTCAAGCATTGGTCATGTTTTAGGTTTTCAATGTTCACATTTCACAATTATTCCCAATGAAGGAAAGTAAATCATCTGATGATTATTTAATTTCACCGAACATTTTAGGCTTTTCCTAAGGACCTGCACATTGCACATCCAATGAAGACGTAAAGACAGAATTAAAACACAAAGCTTTCAAATAGAATAAAAACTATAATGATTTATTCATCAGCTTCCTCATCATTATCAACCTGGAAGTACCTTAATTCGAAGGAATTCTTACTATTAGAAACCACCCTAAGCCAGTCCCTCAGATTATTCTTCTTCAAGTATTTCTTCGTTAAATATTTAAGGTATCTCTTAGATAAAGGAATATCAGCGCTCAGGGCAACAGTGTTCTTCTCCTTGGTAATGATGATATTTTCTCCGAGGTTGCCAATTTTACCGGCGACTTTAACACGACTGTTGAGGAATGTAACAAAGTCTGCTGGGTCGAGGATGCTGTCCTCTGCAGGGTGGGTGCAGTCAAGGGTGTACTTGGTTACAACCCTCTTCGACTTCTTTCCTCTTGCTACTGGCGCCATCCTACAATGATTTTATGATTATGAGATTTGATAATTGTACAGTTTATTGACGACACATTGACTGAATGTTATTTTATATTCTAATTTATATTCTAGATATTTTATTTATTTTTCAACAGACGACAACTTCCTGTTTTTTCTTCTATATTAGTTACTCATATCTCTTGTACAGACTGTTTTACAAGGACATTGACAGATGATACTCACATTAGGCATTCATTATTGCATCTAAATTATTTCACTTGCATTATGTTTAGAAATTTATTCTCTGGTTAACAGATTTCAAATGTTTAATTAATTTGTAGTATGACAGTAAGGTACATAAGAAGTTATTTAATTTTGCTTGGGCTATTATATTGAATATTGAGGTTTAATGATGATATGGAATTTGAATTCTATATAAATTTACACTATGTGGTTGGGGCATTTTGCATAGTAAATATGGTTACTACTCCTATATATCATATTATTTGATTGGTATTCGATTTCTGATTATTTCCCTAGGAATATGATTATTATATCTCAATTTGGCTTTAGGTAGGGTGCCCCGCTAAAAGAACTGGATTCTTCCAGGAAGCATCCCGTGCACAGACCTTGGTCTACATATATATTAAATTATTAACCATTCATTCTGTATGTGCACGAAAATTTATTTCAATCAATCATTCTATCAGTATATTAGAACACAAATAAATAATTAAAATCATGAAAATGTGAAAATTTTAACAGTCTAGATATACGACCATGCCATATAATAATAATCCTTCAATGGCAACAAGTTTTTTCTCGACTAGTTCAGAGTATTTAGATTATAAATCAGAGTATTTAGATTATATCAAGTTTATATTCAACGATTCAATAATATAGATTGGCTAATTTAAATTTAAATGAAAGGTAATAAATACATTCACAATTTAAGTACAGGAGACTTTCTAAAAATATCAAATAAAAACGTTAACTTGAGTCAATAATTTTAAACCTAAAATCAATAATTTAAAATCTAAAAACAACAGAAAATCCAAACTATCAAGGATCAGAGTTTTCTTGAAGCTTGCAATCACGAATAATCCGATCTCTTATAAAAACTTGAACTGCAGTAGCAATAACATCAGCTGCTTGAACAGTCAGGTCTGGCAGTCTTGATCCATGGGTTTGGAAATGTTCATCTCTTATTGCTGTCCAATGAAGTGTCAGCTCACGCAATAATTCGGAGTTATGGTGTATCTTAGGTAAATTCCTTTTCTGCCATCTTGTATATAACTGTTTTGATGGTAAGGAAAGGTGTTTGAATTTGTTTCTGGAAGGATTGACAATGAATGACCTTCTAATGCTACTGTATTTGTGTAAGTTCATTTTCAAAACATGTGGATATTTAACAGTTAAATATTTCCTGAAACTAGGGTTTCTCAATTTTCTGAAATAAACCATTTGTTTACTACTAAATCGTCTCTGTTTATATTTCTTCTTGTTTTGGGCATATTTAGCTATTACATATTCACCTATAGTTGCAGATTTTCTTAATTTTAAAGATCTGTAGCTTTTCACCTTTCTATAATTCTTCCATATAGAACCTGTTGTTCCTTCAATTTCACAGGGATCACAAAGATTTGGTGTGACAATTGAAAGTTCATCAACTTTCACAAGAGGAGGATCAGCTTGAGTAGTAGTTTCAGGGGTTTGATTTAGAAAACTTGAAAAAGTGCTATGTAGTGATAGCTCACGCTCTACAGTGCTTTTAGGAACATTGGGATGTACAATTATCTCAGTATTGGTCTCCTCAACACATTCACTTTCAGGAGTAGTATTGAAACTATTGAATTCAGAGACATTTTCAGAAACAAATTTATCATAATTCTTTACTGATAAAAGTGGATCGACTTTAGCCACAACTTTAGACAGTACTTCATTGAAGAATCTTTTGCTGGGATTATTCTTAACTGCCCTTCTGTTTTCAGTAAATTGTAGACGGGCTGCAAGTTTTCTCCTTCGCACGGCAACAGTCTCACTTTTTTGAATGTTCATTGTTCATCCTGGTATATATTGATTATGTGTAAAACATACTCAAATTGTAAAAAATGTCTGAATATATACATAAAGTCTGTTCATCTTACTTGATTATGGAGTTCTGTAAGCATAGCAAATTTAAAGGTTCATTTTGTGCAAGAAGTATTAACATTCACATCTACAATCTCTTGGTGCAGAGTGGAGGGCACAATGGGTTTATTTTCAAAGTAGGACTAATATTCTGTAAGATGTGACGGGCAAACGCTAGTTTACAAAAAAAAATGCAATATGTAAGTGAGTGCTAAGTTCGGGGTTTCATATTGTGTGAAAACTCCTGCCCATGATCATGATTCCATTCTATAATGCTGGAGTTTAACTTGACATTTTCCTGGGGAAAAATTGAGAATAATCTTGTGAGGATAGGGACCCAGATATCGTTTCTAACCTAAATAAACTTTAAGAAGGCGTTGTTAATCTTATATACCATTTACAGGATGGCAGAAACTCCAGGAGGCTTTGTCTGACTTGATTTGTATTCCTCGTTTGAAGTTTATGTTTCTATCATCCACTAGTGTTACTGTCTCACTTTATTGAATTAAAAGTGATAGCAGGAAATGTCGGAAAATCAAGTGAACAGTAGTGGACCACCTATCCCTAAGTTAGGAGATTCTTATCTTTTGTTCAAGAAAGAAGTGAAATTGTGGTCGGCAACCACATTGATCGAAGAAAAGCGTCAAGCAGGATGTATTGTTTTTATGTTACCTCAGAAGGCTAAGTCTGAGGCAGTGGAAGTTCCACTTGAAGTATTACAAAATGGCAGAACAGACACAGTAGAAGGTGCTGAAGTAAAGACATCGGGATTAGACTGCCTCCTGGAGGTCCTTGATGGAATTTATCTTGAAGATTTGGCTAAGGAAAAGTTCAAGACTTATGACATGTTCAGAAAGTTAAGTCGGGAAGGAAGCCAAGATGTCAAGGAGTTTATTTCGTCATTCGAAAAAGTTGTAAAACGAATGGAAGAGCATGATATTAAGCTTCCACAACCTGTTCTAGCGTATGAATTACTTAGAAGTTGTAATGTTAGTGATTACAAGTATTCTGTTGCCATTACTATGTGTGGCGACTTAACATACACTAACATGAAAGAAACGATAAAGAAGATCACAACTATGAAAGATCCAGAAAGTTCACACCAGAGAATGATTGGTGTAGTTAAAGAAGACTCTACATTTTATACTGGTAACTCCTGTATTGAAAATCAGTTTAATATGTATGATGAATACGAAAATGAAAATGAAGTACTGAATGCTCAGGAAATGGAGCAGCATGCATATTACAGCCAAGGAAGAAGTGGCTATTCGGGAAGAGGATACCGGGGATATGGCTTTAGAAGAGGAAATGGTAGAGGAGCCAGAGGATACCGACAACAGAATCAACAGCAGGAAAGTCAACATCAGGTAGCTGCGGGTGTCAGAAGTGACAGAAAAATGAACCCAACCGACAAATATGGGCGGCATTTTACTTGTAATGTTTGCAAGTCGATTTACCACTTTTCTAGAGATTGTCCAGAACGCCGCAGAATAAACAAAAGTGGAAATCAGGTAACGAGTGAGAATGTAAATCTCTTTATGAATGCTCCTGCCCAAGAAGAGAACTCAAATGTTATGGACCAATTTACCAGTGACAACTTTGGGTTAGCAGTTCTTGACAGTGGATGCAACAAAACGGTTTGTGGAAAGGAATGGTTGAAAGTCTATCTTCAGTCGCTGTCTCCAGAAGATTTCATTAAGGTGTGCTATGAAGAGAAACATGTATCGTTTAAATTTGGAGATAATGCACCATCAAAGTCAAGGACATGCTGCACATTCCCAGCCGTTGTATGTGACAAACAGGTGAACATTGTGGCACAAGTTGTTGATGATCAGATTCCATTACTGATTAGCAAACAGTCAATGAAAGATGCTAGAATGGTATTGGACTTTGGAGATGACACAGTGAAGGCTTTTGGTGTAAAGCAGAAAATCATCTTCAATGAATCAGGACACTGTAGCATCCCTCTGAGCAAGAATACTATCCATCAACAAGTCTGCTTATGTAAATCAGGAGAGGAAATTGTAAACCTGACCATGGAAAGTACTGACAAAAGAAAGATAGCGATTAAGCTACATAAGCAATTCGCCCATCCCCCACCTGAAAAGTTAAAGTCACTCTTAAGAACAGCAGGACAGCTTACCAAGGAAATTGCTCGAGAGATTGACACAGTATCGTCTAACTGTGATGTGTGCAAGAGATACAAGCGACCGAATAATCGTCCAGTAGTCTGTATGCCTTTAGCCAAAGACTTCAATGATACCGTTGCCATGGATATTAAGGTGTACGACAAGAATAAAAACATTTACATCCAGCACATGATTGACCATAAAACCAGATTCTCTGCTGCAAAAGTTATCAGGTCAAAAGACAAGGAAACCATTGTGGAAAGTGTCTTTACACACTGGATCAACACTTTTGGACCACCGAAGAAGTTCATGAGTGACAATGGAGGGGAATATGTTAACAAAAGTTTTGTTGACCTCTGTGAGAAATTCAACGTTCATATCATCACTACTGGAGCTGAAGCACCTTGGAGCAATGCCCTTGTAGAACGGCACCATGCCCTTTTGTCTAACAGTATGATAAAGATCATGGAAGATACTAAATGCTCAGTTGAAGTTGCTTTAGCATGGGCCTGTCATGCCAAGAACACTTTGGCAAATGTAAATGGTTTCTCGCCATATCAGTTAATCTTTGGCAAAAATCCATCTCTCACTTCTATTGATGATCCCTATGCTAGTCCAACGATTGTTGAAGATGAGAGTCCAAGTGAAACTGTTGCCAAGAACATCTCTGCCATCTACAGTGCTCGAAAAAGAATGATGGAAAGCGAAGCTAGTGAGATGATCAGACGAGCCATTAGATCAAAAACTAGAGAAGTGTACACTGATGAGATACAGTCG